GTTGATCTCGCGAAATCTTTCGACGTGTGGGCGAAGTAATCTGTGCGAAATTCTCACGTATGACACGGAATATCCCTAATTTAACGTTTCGATGGTGCAGCGTAATAGGCTGCAATACATCTCCGCAATACTTTTCCGAAGATAATTCCGCAATGTTTTTGCGGATAACTCCGCAATACTTTTACGAAGATAATTCCGCAATATTTTTGCAGACAACAGCTTCGCAATACATTTGCGAAGACAATTCCGCAATATTTTTGCGGACAACAGCTCCGCAATACATTTGCGAAGACAATTCCGCAATGCTTTTGCGGATAACAACTCCGCAATATTTTTGCGAAGTTCGCTCGCGACTCTTCCGCAAATACGATCCGGTGAAATTCGCAAACCTATCAAATTAATAATCGCGGACGCGAGCGTGAATCAAAAACTATGAAAATTGTGACAATAAAGATTCTATTCAAAATTCTACGCAAAAAAGTGTTACCGCGTGAGACATCTGTCTTCGTTCTATGGAACTTTTCGCACGCTCTGTAAGTAAACAAACAACTACTCGCATATCAACGCTCGCTAGCGTTGTCTCTATTGTATCCGCGTTAGAAAACTATATATATATAACTCTAAATGAAAAATTAAAATCTGAAAATTTTCCGACGATCGTGAAATTAATTTTGCGAGCAATTTATATAATCACGTTAGATCGCTTTGCGCAGATGCCGCACGATATCGAATATTACTTAATAACGAAGCACGAATTCTACTTTAAAATGCTATCGCGATTCAAGCTCACGCGAGAAAGAATTGAAAAAATTAACAACAGGCGGAAGATCTATGACGCGGATGATGTGATTGCGCGTTTTTTGTGGCACAATCTTTTTGCGCTTTGGGGCGCTGCTCGAGACAACTGAAAGATTGCATATAATAAAACTGAATAATTTTACAAAACTTTGAATGTTCAGAGCGTATACTCAATACTTTAAACATCTACCAGATAGTGTTCTGGTTTGATTAGTCAAAATTTTCTCCAACAAAAGTCGTCGTTCCAATCAATAAATAAATAAATTAAATATATAATAAATTAATAAATATATGTACATTGGGAGAAAACTACTTGAAAATTTATGTAGAATATGTATTACTAAATTATTCTTTGAATAAGCAATCTTCCAAATGTTTCGAGCAGGGTACGTTTTTTGAACGGCACATACGCATACTATAACTACAGCAAAGTAAATCGCATTGATTTAAGCATGCACTACATCGAAAGACTTCTCATCTTTCTATTATCAATATGTTTCTTATTTTGACTCACCGAACCGCTGATCAAGGCAGCCACGTTCTGCTTTCGTTTCTGGAACAGAAAAATGCCGTTTCACCGATTAGATTCGTGCATTAATATCGATTTGAGTAGAAGTTTGGAAGATCAAAAAAAATAAATATTTTTAACGCCGGGAGAATTTTTTTCGGAATGCATCTACACTAAAATATTCCACTTTCTTTTTTCTTGACGTTACAAATAAATCTCTTAGTCAGAACAAATCAACATTTTTCAAAGAGATATTATCCAGAAAAATTCTCCCCGCGTATAATTACAATTTAACTCGATCTTTGACTCAATTCAAATTATCTCAATTTTGAGCAACAAAATTATCAGCCTTGTCGGATTTCTAATTATAAATGCTAATTAGTGATGCTCACCTTCGAGCAGACCCTGCTCGGCCCGAGCCGGATCCTCCGGCGCAGCAGCCCTTTAGAGGCAGCTGGTTACTTGCTTCTTCTCTGCAACAGAAAGTAAATTTAATTTAATATTAATTAGTTACATACGACAGTGAAGGCATTAAGGAACTCGATTTCAGCGAATTTCCTTTTGTTAGATTTCTAATTAATATAAATGTAATCAATTAATCAATTAATTAATAAATTTCTAATTAATATAATGTAAATCAATGAAGTTCACCTTCGCGCCGACTCTGCCAGGCCCGAGCCGAATCCTCCGGCGCAGCATCCCCTTAGAGTCGAGTGCTCATTTCTACAACAAAAAGCAAATTTAATTTAGTATTAATTAGTTACACAACAATGGAGGTATTCGATCATTATTATTCCCTTATTATCCGCTCGCGGCTATTATCATACGATTGACGATCAGGTATTATTAAAATTATTATAAAAAAGTAATAATATTTGGATAACAAATGGTAGTGATAATAATATCTGATCGATAATCGTACGATAATATCCGCAAGTGGATAATAACTGAATAACGATGATCGAATAATCGGTAATAACAATGAATAACAATAACTGGGCAACGACGATAATAAGTGAACAAAGAAATCGTAACGGCCCGAGTTGCTTTTCTGTGCGTAATAGCAATAATTAAATAGTAACCGAATAAAGAAATAATAATACTCGAATAATAAATGGATGCTGATAATATTTGATCGACTTTGAGGAACTTGATCGCGACGTTTCTCTATCTAACAAGTAGAAAAATTAATGAAACGCGAAAATTACCTGTCGCGGTAAAAGCCGCAGTACCTGCTCGCGTGAGAACTACGCGTCTCAATTTGTGTTAATTATCGCCTCAATTATGGCGAAGTCAAAATGATATTAAAAATCGGCGCGAAATAATTTAGGAAATAACGCGGCAGCTCCCGATGTACTCGTCTCGAGAGGTTGAGAATGTATGGCGTAACGCTCGCGTACGCGTGTTTACAAACCCGGCCGCGCCCTCCCCTCTCTCCTCTCAGCGCCGCTCAGTCAGCGCCCGTTACGACGGTCGGTTTACCTAGCCTTTGTGGAGCTTAAAGTTTTTGTTAGAGTCGTTGCCCTGGTATTGTTATTACCGATTATTCGATCATCATTATTTCATTATTATCCACTCGCGGATATTATCGTACGATTGTCGAACAGATATTATTATCACTACCATTTAATACTCGAATATTATTATTTCTTTATTCGGTTCTTATTTAATTATTGCTATTATTCGTAGAAAAGTAACTCGGACGTGCTGTTATGACGATTTCTTTACCTCGTCTTTGTTCAGTTATTATCGTAAGATGACCAGACGTCCCGATTTTTTCGCGACAGTCCCGATTTTTCACCTTTTGTTCCAAATTTTTTCGAGTGCTATTCGGGACACCGATTTGTCATCATTTTCAATGATTGTCAAGTAATTTTCGGATCTTTTTACCCCTCTCTCCCCATCCCCCGCTTTACACATCTATGAAGTGTCCCGAATTTAGGACTGGGAAATCTGGTCATCTTACATATACCGCGAGGAGAAACGAGAAGATTACTTACAAATTATGTCTTCACGATACGCCCTGGCGATCGCACATCGCTATTCTCGACACTTTCGAGACTTATTTCCGTGTGAGACTTACTTTCGACGGGTTAAAGATGCGTAAAATACGGAGTGATGTCGATCGATGTGTCCACGGAGGTTGTTCGATGCAGAAAGATCGAGAATTAAGATGGTCGATTGTTGAATCGCGCTGAAAATATACGTCAATATGTGAACGGTGCCGCGGCCGAGAAAGAACGCGCTCTATGAAATACTTCTCTCTTCGTATCTCTTTTCCTAACAAGCTGACACAACCGCTCGAATATTCCGCATCTCTCTCTCTTTCTCTCTGATTGTCATCGCATTTCTAATTCCTGTATAAATAATCCGACAATAAATCCGACGATCCGATTTTATTGCTATTTGAGCGAGTCGATATTATTAGCAAATGTAAGGGACGTCGCGATAAGCACTGGCCGCATATACCGCGAGGAGAAACGTGAAGATTACTTACAAATGATGTCTTCACGATACGCCCCGGCGATCGTACATCGCTATTCTCAACACTCCCGAGACTTATTAACGCGCGAGACTCACTTTCGACGGATAAAAGACGCGAGAAACGCGGAGCGATGTGGATCGATGTGTACCCATGGCTGTTGCTTGGCGCGAAAAGATCGAGCATTTCGCGCGATTCATTACCAACGCCTAGATTGAATAACCACGATGACAACCTCGTAGTACGAAACGAACGCGATTGGTTAAGGCGTCTGCCGTATAGATCGCGTCATTGTAGACGCGCGAGAGGTCATTCGCATCACTGGCGCGTTCACATTCATGTACTTTTGGCACTTTTGGCGCGCTAATAAACTTTTGGTATACGTGATTGACAGCGCGCACGTCTGCGATCTTTTTGTGCCGAGTAATGCAGAATTCACACCACGATCGATGTCCGACGTCCGATATCCGATAGGAGAACAGCTTTCTAATAGAGAATTCAATTCTCCATTGGAAAGCTGTCCTCTTATTAGATATCGGAGGTCGTACGTCGGACATCAGACGCGGTGTGAATTCTCCATAACTGCCATGGACACAACGTTCCGTATTCCATACGTCTTTCGCTTGTGTCTTGTAAGTCTTCTGCCGGAAATAAGTATTAGAGTGCCGAAAACAACGACGCGCGATCGTCAGGACATATCGTAAGTACATTATTACGGAGTAATCTCCTCCCTTCTCGACACATAAAGCTAAGATGACCAAACGTCGCGATTTTTCACCCTTTATCCCAAATTTTTTCGAATGCTATTCGGGACACCGATTTGTCATTATTTTCAATGATTGTCAAATAATTTTCGGATCTTTTTACCCCCTTCCCCGCACCTCGCTTCATACATTTATGAAGCGTCCTGAATTCAGGGCTGGGAAATGTAGTTATCTTAATTAAATAGAAATACATCGAGCACAAATCAGTGCTGGGATTTTGTAACTCGTTATTGGAATTAACGACAGTTTCGTTATCGTTGCGCAGCTTTTGTATACCGTAAAAAAGCTATGCAACGATAACGAAATTGTCGTTAATTCCAATAACGAGTTACAAAATCCCAGCACAGGCGCATTTTATCGTTATCACCGCGAATATACGCCTAACGAACGTAGTAAAGGCGCACTTTGTTAGATGGCGTCTCGAAAATGCGCCTGCTCTCATGCTTCTCTTTAGCCTCGTGAAATCGAAGGAGCGACTATCGATATCTTGGCACGTGCTGTCGATATCGCGTTATGCACTGGTTCCAGAGATTCGCGTGTCCGTGATGTTCGTTTTGTAATTACGTGCTGAATCGTACAAGCGAGGTTTCGCGCCGAGCGTGTTTGTGCGAGAACGGTCGCCTCGTCGCAAATGATAAGCAACACCGTCGAAGCAGCGCTGTAAAAAAGGAATATGGCCGCGACGGCGAAAACCGTACTTCCCGAGGAAAGCGAGTTAACCGTGCAGGAAATCGATGCTAGTTGGCCAACACTGCACACCGCATCGGTTTACATCGGCAAAGCCTGCGAGTGGTACAATAATGTGAGTCGCGGCGACCTTCGCGACAGCCGAATCTCGCGCAAACAATGACGCGATATTTATCTTCGTTCGTCAAGCAGTGAGGATTACATAATGACGTGCCGAGTCCTTCTACGACGTTTGACATGTACCCCGGGCATGACGGAAGGTCGCGATGACGTCCAAATGATGTATAAATGACAAGGGAATTACGCGAAAATCAGTATTCATAGTCAGTTCTTACGTTTAAATTATCTCGTGTTCATCTTCAGATACTGTGTAAGTAATGAAACAATTCATGCAGGATCTAAGGATGAATTTGAGATGATCTGAAATATAAGATTCGACCATGAATGCTGTCGTAAAAGCTCGCTTCTCGTTCATAATTCGATCATTTTCTTGTCATTTTAACTTTGTTGTGCCTCTCTCTTCTGCCTAGTACCTCATAATACATGTTACCAACCAGTCAGCGCAAACTTCTAAAGAATGTTTTAAACGTCCTATTTTTTTTTAAATTCAGACGTCTTTTAAAAGTTCATGTTGTCTACTTTAGCCTATTTTACAATATGCTCTTTTCCTTCTGTTTCTTTCTCTTTATTGATTTCTAACCTTGAGTCTTTAGCCAGAAAAAGTTAGAGAAGGAACAGAAAGCACATTGTGGATCAAGCTTTATTTGACATTACATGGTTTCATGTCCACCTACTGTAATATGATGATATACAAGCCAATAATGTCATGAAAATAGCTTTTATTCAATGTATTTACACTTCAACTTAATTTTCAGTCTGATCATATTTGTACAAATTAGAACTGTGCATGATCTATATATATGAAGTTAGATCTGTATATAAAAATCTATATATAAAGAAATTGTTGTTTGGAGCACAGACAAGCTTCTGAACATAAATTATTTCATGTAACTTAGATATTTTGGAGATACATATGACAAAGTATTAGTTTTCGTATTGATTGGAGAATTCTCAAAGAATATATGCAAAGTCAGTGTCTTCTATAAGAAGTTTATTTTTCTTTCAGGATTTTATGTTATGTAGATCAGAGGAAGGTGACCCGCGTCGTTGCCTGAACGAAGGGAAGGCTGTAACCGCTTGTGCCCTAGATGTTCTCAAAAAGCTGAAGAAGCACTGCCTGGACGATTTCAATGCATATATGACTTGTCTTGAAAGATCATCTGGAACGTTGGAGTTCTCTCCGTATGTTATTTCTGTCCCTAATGACAAAAGGAAAAAATCTCCAAGCTAACATTGAAACTACCAATGATTAATGATCTATTTCTGTCAGAGCAATCAAAATGGGTTCTTGAAAAAAAAATGTTTACTTACCTTTTAGTTTTATTCGACGTCAATTAAAAATATAAAATGTACTGTTATAAATTCGAGTAACTCTTATAAGAAACCAGTTTAATTAGCCAGCGTTGCTCGGGCTTCTTATATCTAGATCGTTTAAATTACAAAATGTCAAGTGGATAAAATTAGGAGATAAAGTATTCAGATTTCATGAAGCCTATATTTTTTGCAGAGTTCTAGAGAGTACTTGTGCAAACTTTGGTTCAGATCAGTCAAAGGATTTAGGAGTTCAGGTTCCTGGCCCCTCGCATTGTCTATCTCTTTAATGATGTCAGAAGTGAGAAAATGCATGCTAAAAATTCTTGCAAAATAGGTCAAAATAAAAATATATATCCATAAAGTAACACTTGCAATCGATTAAACAAATTTGTAAGATATTCCGTGCACTCCCCTTTTGCTCTAACAATTAATAATTTATTGTAAATTAACCTGAATAGAAATAGGCGAAGAAATAAGTTAAGAAGATGAATTGTATATTACGTTAATTACGTAATACTACAATTAAGTGTTACTTTATAGATATATACTTTTATTTTGACGTATTTTGCAAGAATTTTTAGCATGCATTTTCTCACTTCTAACGTCATTAAAAAGAGATAGACAATGCGAGGGGCCAGAAGCCTTGATAAGGAATATGTAGACAGACATTCTATTTTATATGTATATAAATTGCAAACCCCTGTCATTTTGGTAATTCTTAATGTTGATTACTTATGTTGAGTACTTATTTAGTGTCTTGTGTTCATATTGATTATAACATAAATTGTAACATTGATGTAATATAAATATTATTCAGATGCCGAAAAACGCAGGCTGCGTTGGATCAGTGCGTTCTTCAGAATTTGAATATAGAACGTCCATCTTTCGGTTACTTCTGCGAGACCAAAGTGCACCACACGTCGAGGCCACGACCAGAGACTCCAACTACAACGTTTCCAGATCCGGTTCCCGGAATTCCACCCGATCAACCGCGTGAGAAAGCCAAGTACCACAATCGCTTCTGGTATAAGAGTTAAATCTTTCAAAGGATTACCACTGAGTACTTCGATCGTGCTGCACAAGTCACGTTGTCGGACGATTCGGGGTGCTTCAGGTAATTAGACAATTCTAGAGAATCGAGGGTACGCAACTTGCAGTTGCGCTTCTAAATGTAGAAACGTCTCGCTTGGAAATGTATAGAACTGCCATTGTACATGTGACATTGTTAATATAAAGTAATGAACAGCAAAATAAGCGATAATTCGCTCATTCATTGTGTTGTTTCACCTTGTACAAATACAGATGTCGAGCACCACAACAGTTTGTCATTTTTTATGCTTAGTCAACCTTAATCCTATCGACATTATTACATATTGGAAATACTGGTATTTTTGTAATCAGATTATATTTTTAAACATTGTTTGAGACAACAAGAAATCTCGAAATCCAGGCGGATTGCGAATTGATACGGAATACAGAATTTGTGGATAATACTTTTAGTAGGATAAGAACAGCGTAGACACAGAGATCTAGTTTTCCGGAAAAAAAAACTATACTTCGTCCACATCGTGACACATAATCTCGTAACAAAACTTGTCGTCACAAAAGCAGCATGAGCAAAAATATATTAACATATTCTCGTTTTGGAAGATACATCAATTAATCAATGGGAAGTATTGCTTTGTCCACACTACAGTACTTTGTATATGTGATAGATTCTCTTAATTTTCATGAGACAAAATTCACCTGCCGTTTGTATGTACAAGTGTTGAGTACAACTCTTGAGAAGAATGAGATATTTCCTGATTCAACGCGAGGTATACTTACTTTATATATGTATATATATATATATATATATATATATATATATATCACAAACTTATTACGTATCTATTAAAGAATATGTTAATAGCTTTTACGGGAGTAATCTCATTTTTTTCGAAATTGGCGAAGAATGTAACATCACTGAATCTCCAAGAACATGGTCTTGTGACGTTAACACAAATACGAACATTGTCGTCAGTTTGTAAACAATATGTTCACCTAGCCTGCATCAAAGGAAAAAATGCACTGCGTACTTGTGGAATCTACAAGTCTCTCAAGAGCACAATCGTGTGTTAGCTCCATTTGATGTCGTAGCCGCTCCAGTTTGCACTCGGTGCTAAATGCACGCGTCGTCCGTTGTAGAAAAACGTGACCACGCCACGATATCCAGATCTGGGTACACCGCTCTGTAACATCGAGTTTGCCGAAAAATTTTAGAACGGTACACATCAAAGCAAAGATACGAATCTTATCAAATAGACGCATTACCCTAAAATCATCCATTAAGCCAAGCAGCTTGCTTGTATTCTTAAATGACTGACGAGTATAATAGGGTATCCGTACTGGACCAGGAGCAACTATGTTCCCGTTCTTCAATTCCGAATAGCTAACCACCGTCGACTGATATACATCATTGACGAAAGCTATATCGTAATTATCCTGCAAAAATGTCTCGGTAATTATACATACACTCAATGTGTGGATATACTTTCTAGTAAAAATCTGATATTTCCTTACTTTTAGCAAATAGGATAGATTCATCTTGGTGAAAGGCACAAATTGTTCATTCAGCTTGATATATTTCAAGTGTTTCTCAAAGAATAAGCCGCTAGAAATAATAGGATACCAGTTAAAACTTTGCTCAAACCATGCAAATCAGTTTTAATGTATTCGCAAAAATGAACTCTATATGTGTTCTTATATAATACATAAATAAAATTGCAATAAGTACTTGCTGACTCCAAGTTTCCCGAATGTCCTAGTTCGCGATATTTCCGGGCGGATACAAGCTCTATTCTTGCGTTGCTCCGGTTGCCTCACCCAATCGTCCCAATATCTATAATAGCGAAAAATATATAATCGCAAATATATGGACGTTGTGAAGAATACATAAAAAATAAGTGAAGGCTCTTGGCCTCTCACGTTGTCTATCTTTTTTTAGTGATATCAGAAGCGAGAAAATGCATGCTAAAAATTCTTGCAAAATACGTTAAAATAAAAATATATATTCATAAAGCAACACTTGCAATCGATTAGACAAATTTATAAGATATTAAGTCCCCTTTTGCTCTATCAATCATATAGCGTAAATTAACGTGACATTCAATTCATTTTCTTATTTCTTTGCCTAATTCTATTTAGGTTAATTTACAATTATTGATTGTTAGAGCAAAAGGAGAGTCGGAATATCTTACAAATTATGGAATATCTTATAAATTTGTTTAATGGATTGTCATTTTATGGATATATTTTTATTTTAACGTATTTTGCAAGAATTTTTAGCATGCATTTTCTCGCTTCTGACGTCATTAAAAAGAAATAGACAATGTGAGGGGCCAGGAGTCTTAAAATATTCGAATAACTGTTTATAAAATATATGTATATAACAAAATCTTTGATAAAGAATCTTTGCTCACGATTTGGGCCACTTTGGTGCAAGTTCCATCCATAAATCACGCGTAAGCATCCAACCTAAACCAGGGAAGAAATCTGTCCTATAAAGTAAATGTGGCGCGTGCTCGTCCACCAAGCTGGCTTTGCCATTGTCGTTCCACGCGGACACACACCATAGAGAGCTATCATTCACTAATAGGGGGTAAGTCCCCAGGAAGTACTCGTAAAAGTCTGGAGCAATGTCCAAGTCATCTGCACAATAATTAGAAATATCGTATCAATTTGTTAAATTTGCATCGCACAAACTGACTACTGACCTTCAACTATAATTGCGGTACTGTACCCAAGCTTTATAAATACTTGGTTTAACGCCCATCTATAGTGACGAGCGATCTTAAAGTATCCCCTAAATTTCTTTTCCTTAGGTGGTATTTCAATATCTGATTGATCAGGTTGCTGAAACAATTACAAGGAGCGTAATAATACCATCACAGAGATATGAAATATGCCTTCATTAAAATCACAAGTGATGATTATAACTGTATATCTAAAAGTTTATACCTTTATATGTAACAGCTCGTTTCCATATCTCGCTATAACGTCTGCAGTTTGTCGATGATCACAGTCTTGCGATACAACTATCGGGAACTGTTCTTTATTCGGTCTTAATTTTACTAATTGATCTAAACACCGCTCTACCGTAATACGATTACAAGAAACAACCAAAATAGCTATTATTGGAGATCCATCGGGTAGCTTTTGCACTGAGACAACATCGTGTGCCGACTCATCCTGTTGAAGCATATGAAAGGTAGAAACTTGAAAATTATAATCTGTACTCACGAATCCTGACTTGCCGAAATTAGTCAAACTAATACTTGAATAAGATTATTATGTAATATGATAAGAGCTAATACATTATAGCAAATTATTGACACAATCTTGTAGATTATAATCTACAAGATTAGATTACAAATATCTTACAGGTAAAATAGTATCCTGCGTTGGCTTTAGCTTCCTAGCATTGCTATCTTCTATTTTTTTTAACAAGATACTCTTAATCTTATTGTTATCATTCTTGTTATATTTGTCTTTCTCTGTCTCATCTATTGGCAATTGGGCAGCGCTTGATTTCTCATATTGTTCTGAAACAGCAAATTGCACACTTTGTTACGCACACTTTGTCCTACTTACATTTATTGAAGTATGTACAGTGCAGATTAGCCTTCAATATTACTTTTTCGTCGTTTACTCTCGTTGAGTCCTTCAAGGAGTTCCTGATTTATGATGATCTGTTGCTTCACTTTCTTTTCCAATCTGCTAATCTGATTTGACAGTTTATCCTGAAAATGAGAACACAGGCAAGTGAGACGACACTAATTGTTCCAAATCATCTCGCAACAGATTGTAACAATAGATATACTACCTTATCCTGGTCTTTGCTGACTGGTTGGTCCAAAAATATGAAGTATGTAACCACAGCCCATAAGACAAGGGACACAAAAATGAAAGTGACCGATCTGTTCCGCATGACACAAGACCAGGTGTCACCGTAACTGCAATATTAAATCACATTGAGGACAATAGTGTAGCCAGTATAACACAAAAAGAACAAATACTAACAAGGTTTCCACACGTCGCAGTACACGTCAATACATATTTGCTATACATGGATTTCTAATGCTTGGTGATTACGCTTCTCCTGCAAAATCACAGCGATCGTCACAACTCAGCCCGACGAGCGCACGAACTTCAGCATCTGGCGTTACTCGGAGACGTCACTTACTGCGTGATACGCGTGTGTGTGTGAGAGCTGTGATATACTTCTAATCACAAATCATAAGGAAGTGTCGCACTCCATGTCGTCAGTGAAATACGCTTATGTAGTAGTGACACAAGAGGCAAGCAGTCGAATGCATGATTCGTCTTTTTCGGCTGGCCGAGCACAATGACCGCGTTATAAGCGCGAATACGGGAAACACTCCTTCTTATCTTAACGTGCACACGTATACGCAGGAAGTTTGACGATACGAGAAAATTACACGGATCTCACTGAAATTGGCGTTTGCGTGTGATAACGGCGCGCGATAATCCTCCGCGATATGAAGCCGCGCGCCGACGTCGCGCAGCGATGCGAAATTTTCACACGAGGCAAACGTCACAGAGGAGGATATGTCGATGACATTTTACAATAGCCAAGCACGCAGTGTTGTACGATAGCGACAGCATGGGCTACTCACGCATTCTGAGACAGGAAGAGCGACACGCACACTCGCGTGGGCTAACTCACTCCGTTGTCGCTCGTTAATCGAATCACGAGATCGAGGCGGTCCATCTAGCAAGATGAATCCGTGTGGCCGAGCACAGTCTTGGCTTGAGAGAGATTTGGCCTGCGGTATTTGAGCTTGCGGGCACGGACCTCACGGCTACGTTAAGCGCGAGACGCGCTTGGCGATAGCGGCTGTGTCAGTCGAGAGTGAAACGAGCGTGATAACCGCGCGCGCAACGGCTCCTCTTGTCATCCTTCGACAGCACAGCCGTTCCTCGCCGAGTGGTCCGATCCGACTGAAGTGGCTGGAGAACTTGCGAGCGCAATAGCTCGCCTGGAGCAGCGCGCGCCGCCGTTATATGCAGGTGCGTGCCGCCGAGGTTGAGGTACAGAATGCGTCGCGATTAGAGATGAAAATGACTCGGTCTGTGTGACGGTAATTTGCTCGAGAAATTACGGCAAATTACTCGATAATTTCGGAAAGCTGGTAAAATGTTCATTTAGAAAAGAATACAGAAATAAAAGGGTTTTAGTATAAAGCTGGAGAAGAGTATTCAACCCTTAAGATAAATAAGATCTTTTATTTTACTCATATTTTCTATAAAGTATTTTGATATATTGTATATTTTGATGTATTGTATACAGTAATTAGGAAACTAAATACATAGCAATTAAAGAAACTTAAAAAAAATTTTAAGGTTTCAATCTATATTTTTCGAAAACGTCAAAATAAACCTCGAAAACAGTCTCAGTCTATATTTTTCATACCATCTTACAAGCTTACAACATTTTTATTTATTACCTTGGGCATCAAAGATAAAATGAGCAACAAAGATAAAATGAGCGAGCGTTGCGAGCGTGTAACAGAACGCGGCCTTTGTTGTTTCAGCGACTAAACTGTGTATATAATTAAAAATTTCTAGTAATATTTAAAAAATAAAAACTTTTCCACACATCACAGAAGTTTCAAAAAGCTTTCAGAAAGATTTCAGGAAGATCTCAGAAAGATTTAATGTTTCTGAAATCTTTCTGAAAGCTTCTTGAAACTTCTATGTTATGTGGGTTAATATTCTCGAAGGATGAGAGTGTAAGAAGAATGTTTTATCTTGTACGAATATATACATGGAATTATCAAAAAGAACACAATTTAAAATTGTGAAATTAATTTTTTGGGTTACGCTAAGTGTGAGAAAAATTTTTTTGAATAAAAAAATTTTTCCGTTAAAAATAAAAAGTACAGCCCTCCCGAAACTTTTTTCTGACTACGCCACTGACTATAGACTTCCAATATCGGCAGCAAGAATACAGCCACAATATGTTCTCTTATCTTTCATGCAAACTATGTCAAACTGTTTTTGAAAATATAGCTAAAAATCTGCACGAGAAAAATTTATGATATAATATGTGTAATAAAGCTGTTATAAATAAAGTATAACATATAAATTATAAATATTATAATTCAATGAAAGCAAATCTTTTAAGGGGATGCTGGAGTCGATGACGAACCCGAACGATGTCGATAATACAGAGACGATCGTCACTAACATAATCACGCTATCCTTTTCGTATTTCTTGTATATACAGAACTTATATGAATGTGTGTTGCTTTGTTTTATTATATTCAATGAAAAACCATATATGTGTAGAAATCTTTCTGCAAATTTTTTTGATATTCTTAAGCTTCTAAATGCAGATGTGAAAATAGAGCAATGTTCTTAAAAATTTTTCTGTTTGGATTATCCACACTTTTGGTATGTGCAAGCTGCAGAACTTTTGGATTAGGCAAATATTACGCTAACAGCTTGAGATAATTAAAAATTAAATTATATTAAATATAATAATAATTATAATAATTAATTATATTAAAAATTTATTGTTCATTTTCGTCACATATCGAGCAATGCTCTTATTTATTTTTGCACGTACTTTCATTGTGTAAAAACATTCCCATATAGCACAAATCTCTAAAAGACTTCTTAAAGAGTTCCAAAAGAGTTTCCAAGTTCTCCAGAACACTTCCCAGCAAACACAACGTTACATATAACATACATGTTAGCTGTAATTTCCTACTCAACAATATAACTGTTATATAACCAGGCAGCACACACACGTTTTAAAAATGTTTTATAAACGTTAGAACCAAATCTTTCATAACTGTTTCCAAAACGTTTCATAACGTTTCTGAAACGTTCTTCATGAGTAAAAATGTCCACTCAAAAAACGTTAGGAAATGTTATTTTTGCGAAAAAAATCGTTGAAGAAATGTTTTATAAACGATTCATAAATAAGGTTTCAGAGAGGTTCTTGTTAAAACGTTTTTTATTGGTGCTTTACGGTTCTGAAACTATAGATACTTTTAAGAAACGTTTCTGATACGTGTATACCTGATATGCTACCTGGGTATCACATATGTTATATAACACGTATGTTATATAACAGTTACATTGTTGAATAGGAAATTATAACTAACGCGTATGTTACATGTAACGTTGTGTTTGCTGGGTTTTGGAATTCTTTAAGAAGTCTTTTGGGGATTTGTGCTATATGGGTTTATAATTCTGCGTAACCAATACGACGTAAACTTTGCGAAAAAATGTCAGTGTTCTGTCGGTAAAGTTTTCAGCATCCTCTTAATATTGTTACATATAACTTTATTTCTCTCAAGCATCAAGAACAACGTCCAATTACACGTTAGAATCGGAAGGAAGAGGTGGTGGAGGAGGAGATCATTTGAATTTAGCGGCACAGAACCGCCATATTAATCTAATTCACACCCATTGCGATCAGATGGCATTTGCGCAATAATCGCGTCGCGAGTACAAGCGAGCCACTCTGCAAACAGTCCGTGCTGGTCCGCACCCGTGTAAAGTGTAGTTGAATAAGCGTATCGTGCCAGAGGAATCGTCGGGCGCGCAAGGTACGTGCCGATCGTTCGCGTTGCACACGCCTTAACCGAGCGCGCGCCGAGAGCGACCGTCCGTTCGTCCGTCCTTCCCGAGCGTCGCTTCTCGCGCAAACTCGTCGTCGGATCGCGCGTTGGCTCCGTTCGGCGCGGCCACGGTGGCGACGGCGACGGCGACGACGACGACGGCGGCGGCGGTGGCGGTGGCGGCGGCGGCGGCGACGACGACGACGACGGCGGCTGGTGGTTATGTGTTTTGGATTCGCCAGCCCGTGTGTCCCGATTAGAATGACCGCGAGTGCCGCGCGCATCCATCGCGAGCTACACGACGATCGTGTCGCGGCCAGATAAATCGGTGAGACAGACGAGGCGCCGACGACGAGGACGACGACGACGATAACGTCGACATCGGAGACGTCGACCGGAAAGAGAGAGAGAGGAGAGAGAGAAAGAGAGAGAGAGAGAGATCGGCCCGCCGAGAGCGGCTGGCGGTACAAAACGGATGCGCGAATGCGCCCTACGCCGCTAGCTGCGTTCACCGATCCCTCCAGCGAAGCCCGGCCAGCTAGTTATGCTCTGCGAGCTATGCGAGCTCGCGCTCATCGCACGCTCGCCCGCGCCTACTGGGACTACTACGGGTGTTATGCACCGTTGATGTGCATCCCGGTGTTTTAATATATACGGGCTCGGCATTCACACGCGCACATCATACATACATACATACATTTATACATACATACATATATACATACATACACACACACACACACACATACTGATCCATACACACGCATACATATGTAAAATATCTATACACATATATATATATACACATATATATATATGTACATCGCCGGGCGGCGGAAGTGTTTTGCTCGATTCTCCTCGTCGCGCGCGCACAGACTGCGCTACACTGCGCGCTATACGAGCCTCCACATCGCCACCTCTCTCTTTCTTTTTCGCCTGCCGCGGCGCCGGGTACGGCCTACCAAGGAAGCGCGATTCGCGCTCGCCCGCGCGCTCCGTTTCGACTCGACTGAGCCCGAAGCCGACCCCCCGACGCCGATCTTCGCCAAGCTCCACCGTGTCTGTCCCACCCTGACGTGATTCGCCCGGTTCGCCCGCCACACGACGGGTTATGTTTCCAACTTTCATCGGGATCCTAGGTGAGTTCTCAGTCACCGGCTGTCGCGTCGGAAAAGAGTGAGAAACACCGCGCGACCGAACGGCATTCTATGTGTCTGAGCTTTGTCTTTTCGCTAATGATGTGTGTGTATATATATGTATATATATATATATGTATATACGTATATATATGTATATGTACATATATATATGCACACACACGTAAAGTCACTACGACGATAGAAATAGTGTCGCGTCTTCGTGGTAGCGAGCCGCGCATATATAATGATCTTTGATTCTTGAACTACTATATAGGATGTGTGTCCTTGGATGTGTGTCCTTAAATTTTGTTTACAGGAATCTCTATGTGCGTGTGTGTGTGTATGTGTGTGTGTGTGTGCTCCTTTTTTGTACGTATGCTGTGCGCGCGTGTACGTGTGTGTTTCCTGTGTATGAGTTGTGTAGCTGTACACTTGATATTTTGCATTTTTTGTGTAAACCTGTGAGTAGAATTCTTAAAGTAACATGTGAATGTATCGATATAGTATGAAATAATATTATCCCAAGTGATTGTTTATGTTTGAGTAAATTTTGAATCAAGTCCAGAGATATTTTCTTATGGATAAACCAAGAAAAATGTATGGCATTAAATATAACACGTAGACATGAATGTACAAACTTCGAAAAATATTAAAAATACATTAATAAAATATCATTGAAAAGGAAAACACATATGTGAACATATCTGTCTGTTACAAGAAATATCTTGCAATTGAATTTTCAATTTGATTACTTAGTAGCGGTATCTTTGTATTTTGATTAAATATAAAGAGGTTGTTAAAATCACACAGTGATTATTTGGCAAGAAACATTAAACTAAAATGTTTTTATTGGAATATAAATTCATATGCACTCCTCTGCAACAATATTGCTTGGTCCAAACGACACGTAATTACGACTGATTACTCTCAAATAATTAGTGGGATTAAGATGAAGGAACTCTTAATTGTTCCTTTATTTTTTTAGACATTCAATCGTGGTGGGAGGTGCCAAGTATAGCACACTTTTGCTCATTATTTAGAGCTGCCTTCAATCTTCTGGATTTTGATATCGAGGTATCTAATTAAATGCTAACTCTTACGAGTAAGCAGCGTATACAAAACCCGCTAGTACCGCTTTGGTATCCAGACAGTGAACTGGCTGTCACGCTTCGGCTTGATTGTTTTATTTATGAGCTTGCATACACCATTCTGTTCCCTCCTTGACCGTCAACATATCGTACACTCGAACGTGTTTCAATATTAATGTGACATAATTGTAGGATTTAGAAGAAGCTTTACTAACCGACGGAGGTACGGAGGGACGACTTCTTCAGGAGCTAATAGTAAAATTGTTGGAAGGCTGTTTGCCAAATGACACTCGCAATGACATCTCTACCTTTAATTATCAGATGTTTTTGCGTAGACTCTTTCGGAAGAAATGTCAAGTGAGTATCTCTCGAGATTGCTCCGCGCGATATGCCCGGGAAAAAAATTGTTATACATATATTACATGCATTACATATACACATATATAATTATATATAATTATATATAATTATATATAAGTCGTATATAATTATATATGACCCCCTATCTATATGTGTGAATTCTATTTATATAGTTTTACATATATATAATTTTATATAACTGTATATACGTACACACATGGAAGAAAATGCTTTTGAATGAAGAAAGGAAGAAATAGTTTTATTCTATTAAATATCATGAGCCATTAGAAATATAAACATTTATTTGCATTGTATTTGTGCAATAGCATTTTTCTCATGGACATATAAAATTATATATGATTATATGTATTACTACACACACACACACACACACATATAGAGACAAAATTCTTTTCCCGAGTGAAGTTTTAGTCGTCGATATCGACGAATCCCTACATCTCTATATATATTTAACTTTACATACTTTACAGGAATACAAATATGAAAACCCTTTCAATACAGACGTAGACTTTGAGTTGTTGCCTCTTCGTCAGAAAGTAGAGATACTACGTGCTCTCTGTGACTTCAGGCTAGACGCCGAAGACGTAGTATGTGTTCAGTTAAGCGAGATATTATATAAAAATGCACTATGATTGTTTAACGTCATAATGTTAATGTAACAGGAGCAGTCGTTAAGTAATTTGGACTCGGATAGCCTGCGAGTCGAACCTTTGGGACATGATCGTAAGAATTCTGCCTACTGGTACTTCTACGGCACTCGACTGTACAGGGAGGATTATATTGATACTTCTAACAGTGCCTCATACAAGCAGAAAAGCAAGCCACGGGACAAAAAGCGTAAAAGACGACGGAACAGAGTGGCGAAGGAGGAACAGGAAGAGGAGGAGAAGGAGGAAGTTAGTTTAATAGACAGCGAGAACAAGGGACGAGAGAGCGTTTGGCAAGTTGTTTGTTTCACTCAACAAGACTGGAGCAGACTGGTTGAAAAATTTCGTGACTCGGTAACGATTGCTTCTGGTGTACGAAAATACATACATATCGTTCATTGATATTTATTCGATATTCATTTATCTATCTATCTGTCTATCTTTCTTCCTAGGAATACGACACCGAGCGTAAACTTTATCGTACATTGTCCGAAGACTTCATGCCGGAAATACCAAAGTTGTTTGATTTGAAAGAGAAACAGCAAAGGCGCAAACTATTACAGCGTAACAGCTCACGAGTGCTCCGAAGCCAGGAACCTACCACACAGATGGACGCAGTCATGGTCAGGTCCAAGATTAAGACTAAAACGACCAAAGGGACTAAAAAGGAGCCAGGCACGAAAGCTGTTTACGTTAAGGAAGAGACCTCGCCGCCGATGCCAAATCCGCCGATTCAGAAGAAAGGACGGCAAACAAACAATTCCCTAGCCTCAGCTGTTGGTCAGATTGTTATTCACACGCGGGACGAGGTACAGGACTTGGAGAAGAAGAAAGGCATCGGTAATCATGGCGATGGTAATTATGTGTCGTGCAATTATACGGGGTATAGATTTGGCTATTCCTTCGGCATCGAAGAGGAAGAACGCCGCGTTGGAATGCACAAAGTACTCGAAAGTGTTAAAGATCATACGGACGCCTGGCCATTTATTGATCCTGTTGATGAAGAGTATGCACCGAGGTGCGGATTCTTACAAATATTCGATTTTTGGTACAGTTTTTTTTTTTTTTTTTTTTATGGACGTTGATTGATTATAACGATTTCTTGGATGGCCAAGAAATCTTTATGATATTCTATTATTAACGTCACGAATGGTTTTTACAGGTATTATAGTGTGGTACGAAGGCCTATGGATCTCAGTACTATGGAGGAGAAATTGGAAGGCGGCTCGTACAAGAGTTTAAGTCAGTTTAAACGCGATTTCCGACTTATTGTTGATAATTGTAGGCAGTACAATGGTTCAGATAATGGTTTGTACATTTTTCTATTTAACTTAAATATTAATTTAAATATATTTTTGCTGATAAGTAACTTCGTTTTATCAACATCTTGACATAAACGTTTTATAAATTACAGAATATACGGAAATGGCGGTTAATCTTAAAGAAGCTTTCGACAAGGCTGTGAATCGTTATTTGGAATCAGAGACGTCCAGTGATGAAGATCCTGCATCTCCTCGATCGTTAGCTGGAACGCCAACATCTCCATCTTACCCGTCACGCCTTTTATCTTCTTCGCATCACAACGCACGCAAACGTTCGAAAAAGTCAACCAAAAAATCTAAGTCATATAAACCCGAAAGTAGAGCCAAGTCTAAGAGTGAAAAGGTGGATGAAGATGAAAAGAGGAATAAAAGTATCAAGATTACTAAAAAGAAAAGGGGAAAGAAGAAAGGTAAAAAGGTGAAAGAGGAAGAGCTGGATGAGGATGAAGAGGAACAGGAAGACCAAGAAAGTGAAGATGCAATATCCGAAACCAGCATTGCAACATCAAAGAGAAGGAAAAATGTTGATGTAAACAATTTACTTAAAACCAAAAAACTATCCTCTAAAGAAGCAGAAGAATTGAAAACTCCTAACAAAAAAACAAGCAAAGAACGACATAAACCGAAAAAAGATTCGGAAATCGTACGATCTGCGAAAGAAACAAAAGAGAATAAGAAGCGAAAAGAAGATTTCGAGGAAGATTATGAGCCTCTAGTAATCGTGAAGAGTAAAAGTAGAAAAATCGAAAGGAAGGAGCTTGAGGAAACCGGAATATTAGCGGACAATGCCAAGAAAAACGCTAAAAAAATCGAAGTGGAAGAAAGCGACACGGTTTTCAAGGAAGATAAAAAGCAATCTTCACACGTCAAAATGAAAAAGAGTCGTAAGAAAGAGAAGGCGAGCTTAAAAACTGCAGCAAAAGCTGATGAAAAGTCCGACAAGAGCCATACGAAAGAGAAAGAGAAGAAATCAAAACAGAAGAACGAAGAACTGAAAAACGGAGAGTTGAAAAGCCAGGCGGATCCCAAAGATGTAGAATTAGAAAGTGCTTTAGATTCAAAGCATACTCACGCCTCCAAAAAACTCTCCGCATTAATTGGTAATAAAGATTTAGAGTCGCTTGATAGTTTAAAGGATAAGATAAGTGATAGGAGACGCGAGGAGAAGTTGAAAAACGAAAAAGAGAAGCAAAGGAAAGCGGTAAAAAACGACACTCATGGTGTCTTTTCAAAAAAAGTGCCTTCAAATGGTAGTACTTTTCATGACAATGACAAAGATAGTGCAAAGCGATCAAAGTCAAAGAAAGGTACGAAGGAAGATAAGAACACGGTTAACGACGACACAATTAAGAATCAAGACTCGGAAATTAATGAAAAGAAAGTCGCTCAAACTAAACATACCAAAGGACTAGGAGCAGAAGAGAATTCTCTGAGTCAAGCGTTAAATCAAGCGACGGAGAAGACGCTTCATGTAAGTTTATAATTATTTCGACTATAAAATTTGTTTAATGAAGATAGATGATATAAACATATAAGGCCTGTTCTTTGTAGCTGTATTGCTGAACTAGTGTAATAAGTTAGAGTGAGAAAACGTATGTTTGTCTCACTTCAATATGTTGCACCAGTTCAGTAGTACAAAGAACAGATCTATATTCACACATATATGACATGACACACACATATACGTTTTATATATATAATTTACATAAATTTACTAAGTTACATATTATTTATTGAGTTATTATATTAGTTATTTTCTGTCTGTATGTTAGCAGCATTATTCTATTCATTTTTCATATTTATTAACCCTTTATATTGACATTTAATTGACGCTCACGCGGGACATTTGTGTTTATTTAAATTGACGTTTAGAAAAACCAAAAACGTACATTAAATTACGTGCTTAAAACGTGTTGGGAGAGATAATCTTGGCTCATAAATAGTAGAACATTTGAGAGTAATAATTCTAACGAAAGTGGTTACTTTTTTTAATATGGGGTTTTTTTATGTGCTTCATAACTCAAATGATTACTTAGGAGAAAATATTTTGAATTGTTAATCAATAAAGAATTGATATTAATCAATAAATTCTTGAAAAATCAAAAGCATTGGACTATATTAAACGAAATTTCATTTATTATCATTCTTATATAATATTTAAAAAAGAAACTCTCTCTATAATACATTATAATCACTATAAAAAGGAATTACAGCAGATTATATTTTATCACTATGTAAAAGAACTATAATATTTTATAATATTTACAACGATGGTCGAACATACATGTCCCAATGATTGACATATTGATTTTATATTTTTCTTTGTTGAAATGCTTTTCAATATACAAAACAATATAATAAATAAAAAGAAATATTTAGTTACTTTGTGATTTTGTTTCATTTATTGATAAGCATCTTAACAAACACAAATATATTATTAGTAATTCAATTATCGGTACATGTTCAATCACTAGGACGTTTACCTTACCTGTGACAGTTACTTAACTATTGCTTGTATCGAGTTCATGAACCGTGGCGAAATTTAATAAACTATATAAGAAAAAATAAGAAATTCATAAAATGCATACGTGCGTTTACAGGAAAAAGATTAAAAGCAGCAATATACCCTTATAGAAATATCATACTAAGAATCATTGATAATTACTTATTATCCACTTATTATTTTTAATACTGAAAATAAGTAATTATCAATGATTCTTAGTATGATATTTCTATAAGGGTAATATCAGTAGTAGTAATAAATAGCAAAATATAATTGTACAATTTGTAATCATTTGAATAATACGTATGCTACGAATAATACTATAATAATAATAATAATGCTATTTGAATAATACATTACTATTCGAATATTTTCGTATGTTTACATTTGTGAAATTATTACATGAAATAGGACATCAATAAATGGCTCGATGACGCACCAAAACTGTCAGGATTCTCTTCTGGCAGCGACTCTCCAATGTCTCACACTCCAGTCGAATCCAGTCGATCGGGAACGAAAGCAGAGGCTGCGCGAAAGAGACCGAGTTCTATTAAGATATTTGGGCCTCACGGACCAAGTCGACCGAAGAAGATACAACGCACAATGAACCGCTTGCAGCCGGGCAAGAGCAAAGGGAACTTGCTTCTGAAAAAACCACTCAATATACCCAACACTAACACCAACGACGCGGTCTACGCTACTAGCGATAACGACCAGCCGAGCAAGGATAACGACGAAGAGCCGAAGCTTAGCTTAGGTACCGTTCTGAAGAACGTGGATTCCATTCAATTGATCTGCAAAAGTCTGGTGCCATCACCCAATCCCAATTTGTCGAACGACGATGAGGAAGAGGACCACGCGCGCACACCGTCTCGGGCTTCTAGTATCAAAGAAGAGAAAACAGTGAGTCTGAAAGGTGCTACGGGTGGCACGTCGAGTGCAGCGGACGAGAAGGAGTCTCGACCCAGCACGGAGGAGTCGCAGAAACCAAAGTCCGCCACGCCGAACTTGAGTGCCTGGTTCAAAGCTTTCGGAGCGCCAAAATCAAAAAAGAAGGACGACGAGACGGAGGAGGCCACGGCGAAGAAGGATGGCGACTTACAGGAGGTGTTCTGCGGCAGGCAGCGGCGGATGAGTACCGGCGGCAGTAGTGTCAGTGAGTCGGTGTCCAGTTTTTCTCAGGAATCGCCGCCGGCTTCGCGCGCGGTCCGTTCCCCTCAGAATCAGCCAGTGGTGACCACGAACGAGCCGCCGATAAGAGGCGCGGGTTTCTACCAGGACGCATTGTCGACCGGCAGCAGTCCTTACAACAGCCCTTTTTACGCAACGCCTCCGAGATACAGCGCGCAATTGCCGCCCACGCCGTCGCCGCAAAATCACCCCCTGTCTCCGGCTTACCCGTCGTCCGCCTCTTACGAGCAGCCACCACCCCCGTATCCTCAGGTGCACGCCCATCAGTCGCCACACCAGTCGCCGTATCAAAAATCCTCGCCACAAGAGAACGCCAGCGAGACATATCCGCAAATGTCTCCGACATTTCCGCAACGCTCGCCGCAGAGCAGCTTCCCTCCTCAGAACACGGTGCAGGGCGACTCCTATACGCAGCAGTTGCCCAGCAACAATCAAAATCAATCGCCCGTTTATTCGCAGCACTCGCCGCAACCGATTCAGCCGGTCTACCCTCAGCCGTCGCCCCAGACGCCGCCGTCGAATTACTCGCAGCCTTCGCCGCAACAGCCACCTACGGCGAAGTACTCACAGCCATCTCCTCAGCAGAACGCCGTCGCCAATTATTCTCAACCCTCCCCGCAGGCAGTTGCTAATTACTCGCAAGCATCTCCGCAACAGCAGCATTCCCCTTACTCGCAGCCTTCCCCTCAAGCACCGCCGAATTACTCGCAAGCGTCGCCACAACAGCAGCACTCGCCGTATGCGCAGTCTTCTCCTCAGCAATCCGCCGGCTACTCTCAACTTTCGCCGCAGCCGCCTGCGAATTATTCTCAACCTTCACCTCAACCGCCCAGCGTGTATTCGCAGCCATCTCCCCAACCGCCAGGCTTCTCTCAGCCATCGCCGCAGGCGCACTCCGCCAACTACTCGCAGCCGTCGCCGCAGCCTCTGAACTCGTATCCGCAGGCGTCCCCGCAGCCGCGGAACTACTCGCAGCCGTCGCCACAGCAGATCCAGACCTTCGCCCAACACTCGCCGCAGACGCAGCCAGCTTACTCGCAATCGTCGCCGCAGAACAGCCCGTACTCGCAGTCGTCGCCGCAATCGTTGACCAATTATTCGCAGCCGTCTCCTCAGCAGCCGACTACGTACTCGCATCCGCTGCACTCGCCGCAGACCCCGTCGAGCTACTCACAGCTCTCGCCACAGCAGACGCCAGCGGCGAACTATTCGCAATCCTCGCCTCAGCGTAAGTCGACCTGCCCGCCTGTGCAGACTCCGCAGCAATCGCCGAGTTACCAGCAACCCTCCCCCCAACAACCGCCGAATTACTCGCAGCTGCAGTCCTCGAAGAATTCGGAAGAATATTCCGCGACTACGACATCGCCGGCGCCGTCGAGCTATCCCCAGGGCTTCAAGCAGAACCCCGCATACGTTCAACAGTCACCGACGACGTCGTCAGTGAGCGAGCCCGAACACCAACGAACGGAATATCTCAAGTCCAACGTTAGCGAGAAGGCCGCGACGACGAGCGACCAGCAGAGGAACTTCCCCGTCCAGTCGGAATCGTCGTTAAACCTGAACGCGAATCATCAGATCTACCAGTCGCCGAGTCAGTATCCGCCGACGTATCCGAACAGTTACACCAACATTGAGCTCCAGAGATCTGCTTCGCGACACGGCTGTCCAGAACAGACGCAGCAGTCGACGACGGCGCAGGAGCGAGCCAGCTTCTCCGAGATCAGCGACAGCCTGAACGCACAGAAATACGCGCAGTCACGCGGTTTTCTCAGCAAGACGTCCGGCAGCGGGGAGCAACTGGTGGCGCAGGATCAGACGCAGCTGTTAACATTCCAACAGAACCTGACGGCACATGAGTCGCTTTACCAGAGCGGCTTCCAGCCATCCGGTTACCCGCTAGCGAACTCGAGAGCAGTGTATCATAGTCCTCATTACTTCGACACGACCAGCAAGTCTACCAGCAGCGCCGGCACTACCAGTCCAGCGGCAGCCAGCGGTAACCTTCCACCTGTGAAGAAACGCGTGTATAACGAGCCATCGTCCGGCGATTCCGGCAGCTCGCGCAGCCTGCCGCAGGAGAGTTCGACGCGCGCAACTCAGGAACAGTTTGGCTTCGATCCGATGATGGCTTTGCCGCAACCGGACGCCGTCTCCGCCAGTCAATTCGACGCCGCGTACGTCGGTAGCCTCGCCGACTCAGTAGCATCCAATCCGGCATATGCACGGTTGAGCCTCGGCTTGGTGGGTCGACCAGGCAAAGAGCAACAGCAGCTGCTGACGATCCCGCGGCCACCTGCGACGAAACCGGAACATCTGGCCTATGGGCGTGGCTCTGCACCAGGGGCGGAGTTAGATCTGAATCTGTTGCAAAGTCTGCAGAGCGCAGCGGCGAAGAACAGCCCAGGCATCTTGGCGATGTCGCGTCGAGCAGGCGAGAGCGCTGCGCCCACCACCACGACGTCGTCTAAGCCGAAGAAGAGCAGAAAGAGCAAGCAGCAACAGCAGCAGCAACAAGAGCAACAGAACGCAGCCGCAACTACTGTGTCGGCGACGGCCACCGTGACGTCCACCGTCGGAGCTGACCAGCAGCCCGGCATACCTGCCTTCCCGCAGTACGCGGCCGCGTCTGCCGACTCCATCGGCTTGAAGAGCGCCGCTGCGGTGGTACCGGCTGCCGGCAGTGCCTTCAACTTTGCCGCGTCCACGAGTACGACCGGCAGCGCGCCGTTCTACGACAAGGACGCCACTGCCGCGGCGGCGTTCGCTTTTTTGGACGAGTTCCGAAATCCTACCAGCTACTACAACATGGCCCTACGACAGCAGCAGCAACAACAGCAGCAGCAACAGCAGCAGCAGTCGGTGCCGCCAGTGACGGACGCTTCCCAGTCGGCCTGCAACAAGCTCGCCAACCAGACGCCCAGGAACTACGCGCCGCATCCGTTTCTTCATTCGGCAGCCGCTGCTCAGAGGTCGGCGGCCTACGGCCCGCCGGTATCCGCCTACGTACCGCACGGGCCCAACTTAGCCATGGATCCGACCGCTTATCAACAGTACATACATTCTCTCTATGCTCTTCAGCCGCCGCCGCATCATCACAGACCGTCCTGGCTTTAGCCATAACTAGAATCGCTGTGAGCTCTGCGTGACTCAGTCCAGACAGACTGAAATAGTACTCTGTAGTAGGGCTGCCAAGTATTCGGATATCTGACTATTCGGATATCCATGATCGGTTTCGACTCGAAAACTCTGAAGCATATTATTTGGATCAAAATTCAGACCATAAGAAGATTCGAATCCAGATTTGAATCCAGGATCAAAATCCGGATGTAGAATCGAGATCTAAAGCCGCGAATATTGATTCAAATTAAATAAAAAAAAACTAGCAAACCAATAAATAAGAATATTGATCTAATTTAATAAAAAAATTATACATTCGATGTAATTATTATTTAAATACATAAACAGGCACTATTTTCTCATGTTAAGACCCAGTTCCACAAACTCCAGTTAACTGGCTGGTGGACTTGACCAATCGCATTTGATATTTAAGAAGAGTTAATCAGAATTAACCAATCACTATTGGGACTTAACTGGTAGTTAAAATTAAACGGATGTTGTGGAACTTGGCCTAAGTCATCAAATTAAAGTTAAAAGTATCGGCTACATCCCGCAAAGAAAGTTACTTTACAATTTTTGTCAAATTCGTGATTTATGTATGCTCTTATTTAAAATAAGAGCATACACTAACCAAATTCACCAATTTTACAATAGCCGCAAAACAGTTTTCTTTGCTAAACATAGCCATTGATTATTTATTGATTGTTAAGTTTTCGAGAGGAATCTGTGTCTGGTCGATTCGCTTACAAGCTGAGATCTGGAATCGATGTTTGATCGACTGTTCGGGTTTCTTGAAAAATCTGAATTTTTTACATTTATTTACTATCCGGATAGTGTCAGATTCGGAGAAACGTTGGAGCTCTACTCTTCAGGTTTCCTTCACAGTGGACCGTGATATAACGCGGCGGAGGTGTTGGAAGAATAGGGGGATATGTATGTGTGTGTGTGTGTGTGTATGTGTGGTCCAGCTCTCACACGTCTAATACCAAATAAAAAAATCGAAAGTCTCTTAACGAGCTCATATGAGAGAGAGGAAGAGACCGGACAGTGCGCCTTGGACAATTTTGTTTTCTTTCGGAAGGGACATCCTCCTCACAACTTGTCTTTTTTTCATTTATTGCTTCCCTTTTTGCGCAATTGATCGTCGTTAGACACGTATCCACAACACTACGGAATCAGATGACGATTTGTAGGTTTCTTTGTCCTCCTCCGCTCGACTTTCTTTTTACGAGGAAGCGACGAGAATTTTGGCATTTTTACACACTAAGGAGGGAGGAGGTCTTAGCTTCTGTCCGATGAAATCCAGAGAAAAAAAGAACACGTTATATGTAGCCATATGTAAATAAAGCCTACTTTCGATGTAGGAATTTTTGATAGTTTTCTAAAATGAGACTATATTAGCCGGCAGGTTTTTGATAGCTCTAAGGCGAGATCGCTAGCGCCGAGAATAAGTCGATCGCACTTCTATCAAAAGTTCCTCCGTGTTAGCGAGCGCGCGATAGCGTTTCTTGTCGGTGTGTATGTGTGTGTGTGTGAGTGTGTGTGTGTGTGCGCGCGCGCGTGTGTGTGTGTGTGTGTCGGGACGCAGAAGTATGCAATATTCGATTTGCCGTTTATTAGTGACGGTCCCAATAGCTACGCGCGGTTCGGGTCCATGATTCGCTGATTGTCATCTTAGCCGTCGGTTATCACGTTGATTTTGTCCTCCATTGTTCTTTCAATCCTTAGAAATTAATCGTCGACCATTAGAGATGTACGTAAAAATTCTGCAGAAATGAGAGAGGATTTATGTATAAATATATCGAACGCACTTTGTTGCTGTAGCGGCATTCCGTACGATATTAGCGTTATTCGTCGATAATTTCGATTGTTAACACGTCACGCTGATCGACTACCTTAAACTACATCAAACATCCGTGATGCTTGCGACGTTATTTTCCAGGTTAACGTCAACTGCGTATTTATCGTGAAACGTAGGGCTGCTACTTGACTCTTCGCGGTTGCGATACCTTAAAAGTGAAAGCGCTTCTAGGAATATCTCGACTCTGCAAAGAGTCAAACGCGAGCGAGACGGTTGCCGGTTGATAATGTTCGCACAGCAAACTAAGATGTTTAACCTTTAGAGGTCCGGAAAACCAATATTTTGGCGCACCAGAATAACTTGTTCAATTTTTTTTTTATTAAATATTCATTTTCTTAATATTATTAGCAATTTTTAATATTAATTTTTGATATCCGCACTTTCAAATAAAAAAAATTAAAATTACGTGATAAAAGGGGTAGTTTTTGTAATTTTATAGGGGTTGTTTTCAGGTTTATTGTATTTTTGATATCAGATTTGGATTCTACGTCGAAAAATACATCAGAAACGCATATTTACACTTACAAATTGATGTGAAAGAAGTATTTTTTTCGAATTTGAAATTTTATATACGGGCTGATCCCTTCCGGACCGGAAAGCCAATATATTGGCGCTATCTATGATCGATACTTAGTATATAGTCAATCCATGATATAAGATACCTTTTTTACCACTTTATTAAGGCGGATATGCCCTCTCAAATCCCGGCCCTCTAAAGGTTAATGATGTGTCGATGTGTGCTGTGCGATCACTATGCAGCTGAGTCGTATCAATGTCGAGTTAATAATGGAGATCACGTCGAATATGGTTAACACGGTAAAGAATATCGCTACTGGTGTACGTTATGTAGATTACTTAGCGACGTAAGGATAGCACATAAGTTAGGCTTTCTTTGTATATATAAAACACATATCTCGCATAGACGATGTGCTCGATGTAAAGTGAGATCAAGACGCAGGATTATGAATGATGAGTTATGACTGGCAAGTGATTGAGGAGGAGGCGTACTGGAGGAAAACGTATGAAAAGAAAAGGCGCATAATAGTAATATACATACAGATCACACAAATATATGTATATATATATATATATATATATATATATATATATATATGTGTGTGTGCGTGTATGTGTGTGATACATGCGCGAAACAAAGACGAAATATACTGTAACACGCCGCTATCATCATACACATTAACTCATCTTTATCGCTGAGACGAATCTGAAGCATTGACAGAAGAAGCAGTATATTGAAACTTATAAATATATACATATATATTGTAAATGTATATTGTAAATGTATCGACAGATTAAAACACAGTTTGTTACAAAATCACGAGGTTTCATTCCGTGATCATTTCGCCAGCTTTTGTCAGTCGTATCCCAGTAAACACAAAGTATCATCCATATTACAATGTCAGCTCAATTATATAGTATGTCATGTAATTGTTACTTTGTTATATAACAAAATAACAGTTACGTAATATACTATATGATTGAGCTGATATTGTAACATCGATGATACTTTGTGTTTACTGGGATAGTTCCGTGATTATTCACTCCTTTCTCGTAGCGACTGATGATTCTCAAATAGACATACTTCGGCATCTACTTACTATTCTTACTCCCATACATAGCATAAAAATATTACACTAACATTAAACTTAAGAAGCTTTTAATTACGCTGCTAAAGAAATCTAGTAGCGAACATAACGTTTTTTAAGATGTTACTTTCCGGGACTTTTCATAAACTTTGAACATTAATATGAAGTTTTCTTGGTTAATTCAAAGTTATTTTATGATTAAATTAATATTATTTCAATATCTCAAAACATTATTATTATATAATCTTAAGCTGACGTTTCTTGGTAGTATTGCTGCTTCCTGACAGAAAAAATTACTGCAACGTTGTATTGCAAAACAGATTTAATTTACTGTAAAATACAGTAAAAATCTAGTAATGATAACATTAGATGCATTAGATAATATATTCCTATATTATCTAAGTATGATTAATTTAAAAATGCCGCAGTGTGACGTTCCTTATATCAGACACGTGATTGGTGGATCATTCCTGCGTGCTTTACGCGGCTGTGAAAATCCGTCCGTATAGTCTTTGATCGACACATATATAGCAGATGCAGTAGCAGACTAATAACACATGGTTGCACAGATGACTAAAGACGAGTAATCAAACCCGATAACTGGAGGGGAAAACGCAGAAAACACGATATGCAATAAACTCGATAACGTATGTTTTTTCGTGAAAACACGCGTGTAGTTTAAATATGTCGCAGATAATTGTAACTGTATATAAAGAGACAAGAATAAAAGGCGTATTGTAGTCGATACGCGACGGCGGGTCGAGCCAGATACAAAATTGCGTAACGATCGATAAGCAAGAGCAAAAACTATCGGGGCGCTACATCTGCTTTATCTGTTCTTGATCCATGATCCATCTGATATTGTAAAGTAGATGGCCAATGAATAGGATCGGTCAAAGTCACGAATCTCTTCCATGGTCAGTGGCGATCGCGATACTTTGATCTTGAAGATATAAAGTACCGTCAGTTACAGTACAGTAATACCCCGAAAATTTCGTGAAAATCGATGCGGAACATTGGCGAAGGAGGAAGCGCAGATAAAGAGCGGCACTGTATCCCTAGAGGAACAGAAGATATATAACAAAAGAAGAGGATCGATGAGATAGCAGTGCTTGACTCGCGAACACAGTATAGTAATTTGCATCGTGTGCATATTTTTTATATTTCACACAATGCACTGGATTTAGTGCACATGATTGACGCATCAAATATATCACCGCCACTATTTGCTCAAAGCATATTTCAGATATAATATTTAAGAACTACCTGTAAGTTTTACTTTTTATATAAGCTGCTGTGGAAAAAATTGCTTGTGATAAAACTAGACTTCTAAAACTTTGCTATAAAAGACTCAGAAAGTTTATACCTAACTATATTTCTTGTGTTTAAAATTATTTGAGCAGTGTATGTATGTAGTATTATAAACACTACTATAAACTACTTATACTACAAACAGTGTTATATTATTGCAGAATTAGTCAAGGTTATCGTTGATCTGTTATATATCTGCATTATGTTGCAAAACATAGATAGGGGGCTAGCCCCTATAAAAGCACATTATTTTCTTTATAATGCTGGTAAGTTAAAATTTTGTGTATTCCACATTTGTTTCAAAAATATCTTTTGCTATTTAGTCATTTGTCTCTTTGCAGCGACGGGACCAATAGTGCCATTTTTGCCAATAATAGCAAAGCAGCTTGGCTTTTCTGCGACATTAGTAGGCACAATATACACAGTTTTACCAATTTCTGGTTTAATTTCGAAACCATTGTTTGGTGGATTAGCTGATAAATTCAAATTGCATAAAATTTTTTTCTTAGTGTTCCAAGTTGTATTAACAGTAGCTTTCTTCTCTATTTCTTTCATCCCCAAAATAGATAGGAGTGCAAATGTTACTTTTATCTGTGACAATAATATACCATATCTAGAAATCTGTCCTGAAAAGAAATTTTCAGTGGAAACTATAAATTCTGTAATATTAAATACACACATCAATTCAGTTTGTCAGGTATGTATAAGTTAGATGTAACGCTGTATCACACATTCTTTTATCCTCAAATAAATAATGGATATAATATTTATACTTGCAGTTATCCTGCAAAGGACCGTCTCATGGTTACATAGAGCTGGCTGGCAAAAATATTTCTATGAACAACACATTTGAGCTTAGTGCAGAATTTGATATATACCATGATGATTTACTTGTAAGAACCTGATAAACTTTTTATTTCTTATAAAAATAACATTGGCTATATCGTAAGAAATAATTTGCAGACGACTAATTGCGTGGATGTGAAGATAAGTAAGTTTGATTTTGTACATATTCCAAACTGCGGGAATCAAATGAGAACTTGGTGTTCGGCGACATGCCACAACAACAGTCGATTTAATCATCTTATGCAAGAGGCTAAAAATTCGCATTACGACAGCGAAACTTACAAACATCGATTTTATTTATTTCTATGGGCGTCTATAGTGAGTTGGGTCGGAATGGCTGTCGTAGTTAGCATAGCAGATGCCATCTGTTTTGATCTCCTTGGTTTGTATTATGCTGTTACATTAATAAGTAACTAACATCGAACTATTTATCGTTATTATATGTTACACACATTTCAGGTTACGAGAGAAGAAAGGATTATGGAAAACAGAAGATGTGGGGTAGCATTGGTTTTGGTATTTTTGGTATAAGTGCAGGATATCTGATCGATGTTTTCAGCGGAGGAGAGAGTGAGAAGAATTACAATTGTATATTTTACATGATGCTGATAATGATGATTTTCGATTTTATCGTGTCTACGACATTGAGAAAGGTATACAAGATACTTAAATAGAGATATCGCCATATATATAGTTATATATCTGTGACAGACTGAAATTAAGATGGTACAGAAGTTGGGTGCTTCTTACTTATCAAAAGAACCCGAAATTGGCAGGTAATGGGAGAAAGCAGTATCGTTACAGAAAAATCCTGAATGTAATGGAGATGAACCGTCGCTATTGTGGGAACTGTTGAGCGTTGTGAAGGAAGGAAGAGTGTTGGTGTTCGGCTGGTGGTGCATAGGCGCTGGAATGTGCACGGGAGTCATATGGAACTTTCTGTTCTGGTACACGGAAGACCTAGCGACCGGCTATCATGTCGCATGGCTTAAAACTTTGCAGGGTCTCTTAACCGGTGTTCAATGCTTCTTAGGAGAATTACCTTTCAACTTCTTGTCCGGTAACGTGCTAAAGAAACTCGGCCACGTTAATGTTATGAGTCTCGTGCTGCTTATCTATGCGATCAGGTCAATAATGATTCCTTTTGTGATATGCTTATTGCATGCGCGACTCATTATATTCGTAGACTCATAAAAATATCAATTCTACTTCACAGATTCATGACATACAGTATTATATCGAATCCGTGGTTATTTTTGATCCTTGAATTGCTCCATGGTCCTTCGTTCGGTCTGTGTTGGCCGACAATGGTGTCCTACGGCGACAAAGTAACACCATCCGGAACAAAAGCCACTATGCAAGGCTTCATCGGTGCTGTTTTCGAAGGAATCGGTTGGTCATTAACTTCTCATCTTTCGCAGTTTAGAATTATTCTTTCTTTTTGATGCCTTAGTATAAGATTCTTGCTTGTTGGTTGGTTTTAGGAGTGTCGAGCGGTAGCTTCATATGCGGCTGGTTGATAGATACTTACGGAAGTGTTACCGCATTCAGAGCTTTCTCAGTGGGCGCACTTTTATGGCTAAGTGGATTTTGGATAATGGAGCTCGTACTGAGAAAGTTCAAGGCTTATCCGTTGAGCCAAGGCCATAATCGTGAGTAAACGATTATGTGGATATACAAATTATGTGATAAACGATTATGTGGATATATTTTCAAGCAAAAAGTTGATGATATTTTAGTTTGTTGTTAATAAAATATTGTATTTGCGCGTATATAAGAAGTTTTTTTTACTTTCGGCGACAGAAAAAGAGAGAAAGATCGTATTTGTATGATTCTGTAGTCGATTTTTCCTTCACGTAAATGTTATAACATAATTGACAATTCGTATCCTTACTAGTTTTATTTTTTCAGATTTAGCAAATTACGCTAATCCGGATGATGCTATTCTCATGACAATAAGTCAAGAATTACAAACCTACTAATAGAGAAACAATGATTTCCATATGACTTACTTATTTATCAGTGTATATGTGGAAGTAACATTATCATGATTGAAACTCGACAAAAATTAATCTTTTTAGCATTTATACGCTGAAGAGCTTTTGTATCGTTATTATTATTATGTTTCTAACTTTTGATGATGTTGAAGTGAATTTACTCATTCAGTATTATATCATAAATGTAAATTATATCGCATAGTATGTCTGTGTCATCGTAATATATACTTTTCTAGACTATGTGTGTTCCTTGTTTATTCACCTTCGTATTTTAATGCACCGATCATAACGACAGAAAAGTGCAGTTTTACAGAAATATATATTAACACGCGGTAAATGAATGTATTTATATATAATATATAACTACAAAATATATCTCAGTTAACATTAAATTATAAAATTAATAGTGCATTATACGGTAAAACGTCAGATATAACGATTATATGAGAAACAGTCGATAATGTTAACGCTGTTCGATCATCACCGGAACTTTCGAATTCCATTTGGGAGTAACAGACATTTGCTCTCCTAGCATCGCGAATCTTCGATGGTGTCTTGCTGGTGACAACCTAACAAGAACAGTAGAGAAACACTAAAAATGGAAACAGCCGGGATAATATATGTCGAGCGCAGATTAAATTAATCAAATTGCTCACAAAATATCTCAACCATTTATTCATTGTGAACTCCATTTCCAATGAACGAAGATATACCATACTAACAAACACGTTGATTAGCATGCCTGTTCGATCGCAATCAGTCGATAGCAACTTTCTTACGAATCTCGTCTATTCTATCAATAAAAAGCTACAAACTTTCTCTCGCTTTTATGCCGCAACACTAAATGTAACGATCGCGTTCGCGCGTAGCCGCCGATCGTGTTGCGAGAAGAGGCTCGTGCAGCGAACGTTTCCGTATATTGTTAGTCTTGTTTCGACGTCTGTCGTTGAGTGGAACGTGACGGTGAGGCAACCTGACTCGGTACAGGCTCTATCATGGCTTGCAAATTGGAAATCTCGCCTGCGGCGTCACAACAGTCGTTCATGATAATCCCAGCGCCCGAATGCATAAACGCAAGGCTACCCTCACTGGACGAGGCTAAACTGGTCGACAAAGGTGGAGATCGTTCTTTGGGTGACGCCGAGGAAGCGGGATTAGCCATGGGCGAGCACGTTGCGGCCTCTAGCCTACCGTGAAGCTCGAGAATACGGCCCTCCAGAAGCAAATTAATCTCCAGTTGGGCTCTGTATTTCGAATCAACGGCTTCTAATTCGGACGCGTGCTGTTCCTTCGTTTCTCGCAAGAGTCGCTGCAAATCTACGAGTTGTGTTTCCTTACGCGCCTCCTTATTTTCCAACTCTCCCAGACGCACTTTCAATGCTTCCACATGAGATGTTCGCGATTCCAATTGTCGGCGGATATCTGCAAAAAATATTTCTCAGACAAAACGATCATACTTGTCACAACTCGCATCGCGAATGAGAAACTTTGCTCTGAAGTTTTAGTTACGTTTGAACGCTTACTGTTTAATTCTTCCGTGTATGACTTTTGAATTTGCGTCATTTCTTGTTTAATCGTCGGTGAATAACTGTCTGTAGTTTCTTTCAGCTTTAATTGCGCCTGCGAGAAAAATATCTACGTTTTCATAATGTACAACAACATTAATTTGTTTTATGAATAATTCGATTTTTTAAATTTTTAAAAGATTATGATCCAACACACATACAAAGTTTACTATATTGATTGTTCTGATTTGAAATAGTCACCTCTCCTAGAAGAAGGAATCTCTTCTGTACAATATCCAAAACGCGTTCTTGCTCTTTACCGCGGTCCGCAGCTTTTAACGCCGCTTTGAGTTGGTGCCCTGCAGTGAAAAGTTCCGCTTCTGTAGAACGAAGCTGTTGCTGTATTTCGGCTGCCTTTTTGTGCTCGCTCTTTAATTCCAGTTCTAAACACTCTAAACGGTCTTTGAATGCGTGACTCTGTCGTTGTTCTTCAAGACACTATATGCAAGAAACAAAATAATAGTTATCTAATACTGTTAATACTGTTATCTAAATTAAATTTTTTTATAATTAAGATATTAAATATTAAAAATATTTTTAAAAGTTATACTTTAGTTTGCCAATGATTCGTGGCTTCTTTGTATTTTTCTTCAGCTTGATGCGCTTCTTTTTTATTACGTTCCAATTGTGCTTTCAATTCCTCCACTTCTTTTTCTAACATTTTCAGACGATCAGTCTATAATATCAAGAACGTCAAGTCTATCAAAGATTACATAAGAATTTGGAAAAAAAAATTATATGAGGAAAATATAAACAAACCAAAGCAAGATTATGTTCCTCCGAAGCTCGCGAATCTCTTAATTTACCAAGAAGTCGCCGATTACGCTCGGCATGAACTTCTCGTCGTTGTCGCTCAAACTGCAACTGCATTTGCATAAGTTGAAGCAACTGATTAGCATAAGTTGGATCTATACCATCATCCTCTCCTCCGTCCTCGTCCGTCTCTTCTTCTCCTTTCTTTTTTTGCCTTTGCTTAGTATCGCTTATTCCTGAAAAAAGCTTACAACTCATTTCGCTTACCAGTATGCTTATTCTGTAACTTTTTTTAGCGACAATATCGCTATCGTTAAGCGCCATTGCGCAGTTATTATATGATACGTTATATCTGCACGACGACGCGTAATAACGTCATTATCGTTATAAGATTACAGAATAAGAGCACAAAAATATTCTTTTGTTATGTATTTGCATGTGTTATATCATATTTACTCATTTTGCCGTTGTTGCTAAAGAAATTATTGACTCTTGTGCAGGCCTCGATATATCGATCCAGCATGCTGACTGGCGACAGTCTTGAGTCGGAATTTTCTTGAACAGAATTTTGACTGCTTTGATCAAATATTCCCATAAACAGACACTCATATGGAAACAGATCGCCTGTTTGGGTGCTCGTATCGATTAATTTGATTTGATTTGCTACGTCCTCGCTATTAAGTTTGCTTTGAACTGTCATCTCCGGGCAAGACCTGGTTTGCCGAATCTGCAGCAGGAGCATGTGTTTTCTCTTATTACAATTGCACCCTGATCGCTGTCGTGCAAAATACTATAATCCACTTCCCAAAATACTCCACCTTATGCGTTACACTCAAATTTGACTGCTGCATTGGAAAGTAGCACTGAGAATAAAATCGAAATTGATAGACCTTTTGCGATAGATCCGCTAAAGCACCACACACATTCTTCTCATTTCGCGCTTCTGACAGTGGTTCAACGAATTTTGGCATTTCGACTGCTCCGCTACCGTGTGAACTGACAATTTCCAGTACCTATATTGCACACGCGAGGTGTCAATATATACATGATTTCTGTATTTTTACGCGATACAGTCTGTGCCAATAAATTGCTCAAACCTCTTGATCTTCTTGCCAAGAATCGTTCTTTCCATTCTGACTTATATCCATTTCTAAAAGTCTCGCGTCCTCTTCATTGTTAGCCAATATCTTTTGCGACTGACGAAGAGCACTTTGCCTATCCGCCATGATTTTGTTTAGTTTATGCGAAAGAAACCCAGGTGCATTTATTGCAATATCCCCGCTTCTTGCTGCAGAGCCAGAAATCGACACGGAAGAGTTTATAGGAGTGGGTGTTGATGGCCGGGAGGATGTACCTGTTGTACCATTGCCCAATGCATTTAGAGCACGCACCGCGCTAGATCCCAAGGGGACTTGCCTCGTTGATATTTTTCGTAGATCCTATACAAAATATATAATAGTTTAAACACATAACAATAATTCACTATCAAACATAAACATAATAAAATCATTAATTTTTTGTATGATATCTCATAATTATTATTATCGTAGATCTTATACAGAATATATAATAGTTTAAACACATAACAATAATTCACTATCAAACATAAACATAATAAAATCATTAATTTTTTGTATGATATCTCATAATTATTATTATCCGATATTACGAAAATATCCATTAGATTTTTCTCAATTTAATAATTTAATAATTATATTGAACATACATATGTTTCAATCCAATTAATTGATATGAGCAAAATCAATTGAAGAATATTTAATCGATGATTTATTTCAACGAATTTAATTAAAGATCGTCCTAGTGACGGTTGATACAAGGAAGAGAATCAATGATTGTGCAATTGATAATTGAATTCAACAAATTTAATTAAAGGCTGTTTAATTAATAATTGGTAAGAGCAAATTAAATCGATTAAGTCCAAAAGTATTCAATTACTCAAGATAACAATTGGTTTTATAAGTAATATTCATACTATGGCATCATAGAAAGTACAGGTGATTGAGAAGCGCTAAATAAGACCCACGCTGAGAGACATTAGTCATATAAATCGTTATCAAACAATCTTCGATTAAACCAATTAAATTTGGACATATCAACCGTCAATTAAACAGTTTTTAACTAAATTTGCTAAGTTCAATTATTAATTTTGACGAACGATCTTTAAATCTCTTCACTTATATAAATCGTTGATTAAACGATTTTTAATTGTATTTACCAATCTATTGAAATAAATTGTCAATTAAACGGTTTCAAATTGAATTGACTCATACTAATCATCAATTAAGCACAATAATTAATTAAAAAGGTAATTAATTACTTGCATCCTTGATATTATCCAGTGCAGAATGATGGAGAAATTCTGGCAAGTGTAATCTTTGTTTTATATGCTCAGTAAATTATCAGCTATATATATACCTTGACGGGAGTCGTCTCGGGAGTAGCTTCGATAGCAGCCTCGGGCGGCGAGGTGCCGCTCCTAGTGTTATTAGGCGTCGGCGGGGCAGATCGCTGCTCGTGTGATGCATTCGGAAATGGTGGGCTATGGGGCGGCATCGCCATACTCGGTGACCAGAATGTATCATCTTCTCCATTACTAATCTCTGTAGTCGTCACACCTCCCCAAATATTGACCGGTGTACAGGTGAAAGACTGATCTGCAGATACATAAATAAAACGTAAATTTTTGTTATACAGAAGAGAGAAAGCGGAGCGCAAAGATCCGCATTTATATCCCATTTAGCCCTTAATATCCCATATCACATTTAGAACTTAATATCTTCGTCTAATATTGAATTTTATTTCTCTTATATAAAAATCATACGTAACATATCTCAAGATAAAAATCACATTTTGCACTAAATGTAGAATATAAATAACGGGAATACGATAATGATGCTGACCTGGAGGTGGAGTACACCGAGAATTAACTATGCCTAATATTTCCTCTCGACATCTATCTAATGTAAAACGACCACATTCTGCCATGATATCATGATGCTCCATTTTCTTCCACCTATTGCGCAACAAAAGTAGCAACATACAAGTGATTCAACTGTGAGATAGAATCACAGATTCGCACTGTGAGACAGAAAATATATTGTTTGTACATGTAATGAATATGTGTATACCTATTGGCTGAAATTTCTGTATCTTTAGACGCAGTAACGAGTAAGGGATGCATACGCACAGAATCCAGCATGGGTCTAATAGTATGAGTAAACGTAGCCAATTGATCACGCTGAGTGTACTGTTGCTTCAGATATGATATAAAATTGCATGGATACATGGCGTACAGTCTATGAAATAAGCTGTATAATCCTACCTATAATGTGGCAGTAATTGGTTTTGTTAGCTGCTACATTGTATTTGAAAGTGATCAAAGACATTCACCTGCAAATGTATGAGGTACAACCGCTCCTTATCGATGACGTTTGGTACTGTAGTCGAAGTAAAAAGAGTAGAGGAAGAAAGTAAGGACGATTGATGATGATAATAAGAGGCCAGTCGGCCAAATACCTCGAATATTTCTGGTAGATATGGCCCTAAAGCAGCAGGTAACATTGGTAACAACATTACTAACAGAAGAAGGGCACTCAAAAGTGGTAATATATCTGCCTCCACCTTGAAAAATATAGTTTTTTAAAATTATTTTGCATCTTCCAATATTTGGAATTAGCTCTCAATTAAATATCAAATAATTTAGGGTATTTTTAATTAATCCACATTAAATATTATACAGTGAATAATCATGTTATTTATTGGCACATAAAATATTAGTATATTGTATATGAAAAATTTAACAGCTATATAACAGCTGTAATATAAAATATAATCAAATTATACACACAAACAATATACAGCAATAAGATTATTTATAATTTGATAACAATGCTGAAGATATCAATGTCAGCAAAGAGGAAATTAATAAAGAAACTAATAAAGAATAATTGATGAAGAAACTTTATATATATAGTACTTTATATATATAGTACTTTATATATATATATATATATATATATATATATATATATATATATATATATATATCACATAAATAATTACATGTACCAATAACCAAAAAAATACATCTATAAATGTTACTGTGTAAATGTTACCTTAAGTAATTTGAGTAGATCTCTGAATAAAGCATGATTGGCTAGCTTATACAACCAAGTAGGTTGACGTCGAGCTATATGGCCAAGCAATGTAAGTGCTTGTATTCTCTGTCCACAATTGCCAGTTTTTGAAATAGTATCTGATAAACGATCCAATAGATGTTTGTCGTGTGGGTCACGAACTCCTGCCAATACTTCAACAGTCCTCAGGGAATTAGTGGAAAGGTAATAATCAAATAATCCATTTACTAACCAGTTATCCTTTGCTGTAGACAATCCAATATGGTTAGAAGTGATTTGCTTACATCTAATGAGACAAGACTCACATGATTACTCACTGGATAAGAAATGATCGTGAAATACTTTCTTGATCTCCTCAACCTCTCCGAGCTTGTTAGATTCGAGTAGATGGAACAGCTCGGCGACGCCTGCAGTGCCGACGCTCATTTTGACGGTAAATGATGGCTCGGTTGAATGATGCTATTCTATCATGATCTTGTGATCAGGCGGTGGAAGTGGAAATAGGTTTAATAAAGTAGCTTTGAGCCATCTGTCGTCTGTCATGCCAGGCGGGCATCGTACGAAACGACAGAGACGCTAAAATACCTACGGGGAGAAAAAGAATTTCAACTAAAGAAAACAAATAGATTCTCTCGTCAAGAACCGAGAGATAACCCTCGGTTGTTGCGGTGCCAAGTGCTTCACGAGCTTCGCGACCGACCATGAAAAATGAACGAACAAGCTCGAATTCGCCATTCTACGCGAGAGGGTTGTTTCACGACAAAGATCGTGCGATTATTCGCCCGTAAATCGGTGAATATACAAACTGTCAGTGCTCGTCCTTTTTTTTCGATGCACGAAAAGAAGTGTCGGTCTTGCACCACGGTGTGTATTGCCGTGGAAACGCAAAGTTCGACGATGTGATCGCTCGAGTAACAATTCTCGCAGAAAGTCACAGTTGTCACGTGTCGCGATTTTGAACATTTTGTCGTATTTTTTGCGTATATCGAGACAAAATAACGAAATAACTTACCCGAAGTTCATCGAGTATTTCGAGCAGATTTCCGAGTTCTATGGCGACTGGCGAGCTCGGATGGGGGTAACTTCAATATATCTTCGAGATCTGTTCTGTGTTGCCATCTGACCGTAGCATGAGAAAGATACTAACCGAAACGAATCGTCCCTCATGTTAACTTTCAGCTTTATCTCGAGGACGAGATGTTTGAGGCTGCCTCCCCATGCGGCGTAATTTGCGTAAGCGTAACTTGCGTCGACCAATCACATCGTTTTATTTGAATATGAGCTATTCAAATGAGAGATATGATTGGTCGACGCAAGTTACGCCGTATGGGGAGGCAGCTTGAGTGGTCTGTTCGGGAATTCTTCATATTTTGCCTTGCAAATGTTATATTTCCTCAACAAATGTTTTCTCAATTATTCTTGGATAATTATTAAAGCGCATTGAATTTTGCAATTAGGCTCTTAAAAATTTATAATGAATTAAAATATATTGCATTTTTTGTTCAATGCTTAAGCGGAGTCTACAGTAGAAGTCGTAAGTAGTAGAAATTAACCAATCGCGATCGAATTTGAGAAGAATAATCGACGACGATTGATCAATTTCTACGACTTACGACTCTACGATTTCTATTGTAGACTCCGCTTTACATACAAATAAATTGCCTAGTTTTTATTTCAACCCTTTTTCTAAAATACTTTGCACAGTCAAAAAGATTGTCCGGTTTTTTATGACTTTCAGAACTCATTTATCTTGTCCAAGAAGTGCTGTGCTTTTTGAACGAAATCGATACTTTTTGTAGTTGCCGAAAGAGAGCAAAAAATACTGGCGGCATATAAGCACTTGACCGCGACGTCGTGCTCAAGGTTTTTACATGCCGCTAGCATTTATTGCTTAATTTCAGCAACTACAAAAGATATCGATTTCGTTCAAAAAGCATTGTCTTCTCCACACTTTACTCTATTGGAATTAGTTGTTTATAATATTACGATTAATACCACTGCTTTAGGTAAAGTATAGAAATGCGCGAATGTTTCGATGTTGCGATCAAGCTCTTACATGCCGCTAGCATTTATTCCTTATTTCTCGGCAACCACGAAAGGTATTGATGTTATTTAAAAATTTACTAGTTTTTTCCACAGTTTATGCTACTGGAATTAATGTTTTATAATAATGCGATTAATATCGTTGCGTTACGTAGAGCATGGAAGTGGGTGTGCTTTTCGCGGTCAGGTTCTCGCATATACACGTACATACGATATTTTGTACACATATACATGTAAATAAATTTATGACAGTGCGTAAAAAGAAAAGATCATGTGCATGTTGAATGGAATATAAGTTTGTACGCAATGGTCCATGTTCTTAACCACGCAATTATGCGCTTAGCACGGATACGAATCGCCGGGAAATGGGCGTAGAATAGACACGCACCGAATCGCTGCTTTACCGGCATCGTTTGAAAATGGGCGTAGGGAACGTAGTTCCACCTGAAAAATGGGTGCAGATGGCGCATCGCACCAGTGTGAAAATCGGTGTTGCCCAAAACATATGGCGTGGCCGCTCTCAGGTTTATCTCTGGCTATGTTTCTCTCTGTAGTCTATACATTTAAATCATGCAAAATCTGACAAAGTGTCCAAAGCGGCATTATATAGCGCCCAGTAAAGTATTTAATTTTTTATCCAAGAACCTCCATCCTAAGGGAAAAGTCATTTTTGACGTTAAACACTTGAGTTGTGCGCATAATAATGGATCAAATAGGTTATTTCTACCTGTGTCGTATCATGCAAGTATTAATTGTTTATTTTGACCGGTATCTGTTTCACAATTGTTATACAGGAGACTTAGCTAACTGAGATCTTCACCAAGTGCATAATTTTCATGTTCATAAAATTAACGATACACATGTAGAATATAGATATAGGTATATTTGACAAGAAGAGTATGTCACTGTAACACTATTTTTCTCCAGGCTTTTAGAAAAATACGTAAAGAAATTCATGCTTTACAGTCTGCCCTGTTGTGCAGTAACATAAGCACATTCAACTTTTCCCCAAAGTTTGATAACATAAGGTACTTTAATACAACATGTAACAATTCCAATAAGCAATCACCAAAGGAATCTGGTTCTGAAAATCCAGACAAGGAACCTAACAAAAATGAGGAATTGATAGTACTTCTTCGCAAGCTTTCTATAGTGATCATGTTATTGTATGTTTTCCTGTTTGCGTTGAGACAACAGATAGATACAAATGTAGAAGTAAGTTTTTATTAGCCATTAAATTGATCGCATAAATCATTGAAAGCATGAAATGTTAATAGTCAATCATAATGAGTATTTAAATAGCCTTTAGCATCTGTCTCCTGGAATGAATTTATATATCATATGTTGAGCAAAGGAGAAGTTGAGGCTATTCTTGTGAATCCAGCTATTGAGCATGTTATGATTTTGGTTCATGAAGGTGCTATTATCAAGGGAACAAGAGCCCTATATAATAGATATTACATGTCTGTTCCAAACATTGAACATTTTGAAGAGAAACTAAGAAAGGTGGAAAAAAACCTTGGCATAAAAACTGGTAAATAAATTGCTTATATAAAATATTGATAAAAATTATCAATAACATTTTTTATATCTTTTGTATAAAATCAATGTTCCAATAATTGAATAATGTTCCAATGATTGAAACATTAATAATATATTTGTACTTAATATTTCTAAAAGAGAGGGAGAGAGCTTATGAAATTTTCTTGAAAGATATTTTTTATACCAATTTGTAATATTATTTAATGAAAATTCAATCATTGAGTCTGTATTATTCAGTAATCATAATTTGTTTTTCTGTTTAATTACTGGTACAACCGGTAATTAACTATCTCATTAAAATTATAATTAATATTTATTATTTTACTCTATTATTTTTTGATCATTGACAAAAGTTCTATATAAACATTTTTATTAGCAACGTTTATACACGCGCGTAACAATGATTTATTAATAAAAATAAAAACCGATGTTTTCTTATTAATTTAGTCATTGGGACATTTACCTTATTTTAAATTTGTTTGAAATATTGCAGGCCAAGGAGTGCAAATTATATATGAGAGGAAGACGGAATATATCGTAAGCTTGATAAGATTTTTGTTGTTTGCAACGATCATTACTGCCATCCTAGCTTTCTTCAAGAAACGTTTTCCTATCAATCCTCTCGAGATTTTCTCACAGATGAAACAAGCAAAATTTACGCTAGTCGAGCCGTTAGTGGGGCAAGGTAAAGGCGTGCGTTTTGCAGATGTGGCGGGATTAAAGGAAGCTAAAATAGAAGTAATGGAGTTTGTTGATTACCTCAAGCATCCAGAGCGTTACAAGACGCTTGGTGCTAAGGTGCCGCAGGGTGAGTGTGTGTGTGTGTGTGTGTGTGTGTGTGTGTGTGTGTATATGTATAGAAAATCAGTATTTATAAGTTTATTTTATATAAAATGCAGTCTGATTATATGTAATTCTGTTTTTCAGGTGCTCTACTTTTAGGACCTCCCGGTTGCGGTAAAACCTTATTAGCTAAAGCTGTAGCGACTGAAGCAAGTGTTCCATTTTTATCTATGAACGGTTCCGAGTTTATCGAAGTGTTTGGTGGCTTAGGAGCTGCTCGAGTGAGGGACTTGTTCAAAGAAGCCAAAAAAAGGTTTAATTGTCGTGTCATTTTTTTTATAGTACGATTTGTTTTAATAATATATTAACATTTATCTCCTAATAACTTTGTCTTCTTCTCTCACATAGAGCACCAAGTATCATATACATTGATGAGATTGACGCGATTGGCAAGAAACGTTCAGACAGTTCAATTGGAATTGGCAATAGTGAGTCTGAACGAACCTTAAATCAACTTTTGGTAGAAATGGATGGAATGATCGCGAAAGAAGATGTCATCATATTGGCTTCGACGAACAGGGCGGACGTGTTGGACAAAGCGTTACTGAGACCCGGTAGATTTGACAGGCATATTTTAATCGATCTTCCCACGTTAGATGAACGGCAACAAATCTTTAAGACTCACCTCAAGAAAATATCTTTACAGAGTGAACCTTCAAAATACTCGGAATACTTGGCTTATCTCACACCTGGCTTTAGCGGTACTTGAATATATTTGCAAAAAGTAGACAACATGCATTATATATACATATATTTATTTTGGTCATTATATAAAATCAATGTTTCTTCAGGTGCTGACATAGCGAATGTCTGCAACGAAGCCGCGCTACATGCTGCAAGGGATAAAAAGAAACAAGTCGACAGCAGCGATCTTATGTATGCGATCGATAGAACGATCGGTGGTTTAACAAAGAGGAATAATCCACTGACACCATCTACGAAACGCGTTGTTGCCTACCACGAAGCTGGTCACGCATTAATGGGCTGGTTGCTGGAGCACACCGATGCTTTGCTCAAAGTAACAATAGTACCGCGAACCAACATGAGTTTAGGGTTTGCTCAGTATACTCAGTCCGATCAGAAGCTCCACACTAAGGAACAATTGAATGATCGAATGTGTATGATGCTGGGTGGTCGAGCGGCGGAACACATAACGTTCGATAAAATTTCAACGGGCGCGGAGAATGATTTAAAAAAAGTCACGAAAAACGCGTATATGCAGGTCCAGCAATTTGGAATGAGTCCAACTATAGGTTTAGTTTCTTTTAATGAAGAGGCTACTGACACGGTATAACGTGATGATACTTTTGCAAATCACTCATTGTTAAGAAAGCATCGTTATAACTTGAATTTCTTTTGCAGAAAAACAAAAAACCATACAGCAAGAAACTAGCCAATTTAATGGATACCGAGGTGAGGAGGATGATCGCGGAAGCGTACGAACGAACTCGAAAATTACTTTTGGACAATAAAGACAAGTTGGATGCGGTACGTATTTCCTTTCTCTCTCTCTCTCTCTCTCTCTCTCTCTCTCTCTCTCTCTCTCTCTCTCTCACACACACACGCGCGTGTATATCTAAAAAATTATAGATTTTGTATATAGATTTTTTTTATGTACGTTAAATATTTCTGTTGCAAACAGCTTGCGGAAGCTCTATTAGAAAGAGAAACGTTGACCTATGATGACGTAGAGAAATTAATTGGACCTCCACCATACGGAAAGAAGCGGCTTGTGGAGCCGGCAGAATTTGAAAAATCTGATTCGGCTAGAGAATCTCCGTCGGTAGACAATATAGGGTAGCAGCACAGTGAAATGTTTTAAATATTTTTCTGTAGATATTTGTACTATAACATCAAGATTAGTACGATAAACGTATTAGAAAACAAACTTTTGATAAATTATTTGAGACAGTTTGGAAATTGTGCGTTTTCGTTGCTATAATATATATATATACATACACTTTTAATTTCATGCACAATGTATGATTACATATTATTACATGTTTTACAACTAAATTTGAGTAACAGGAATAAATAAAACGGTACGAATGGAAGAATTATAATTTTATTTCAATAATCTGTTAGAAATCAAGTTTAACTACTACATACAATTGGTGGAAAATATATGAAATACAGGGTTAAAAAAACTGTTAAACTTAAGATGTCTCACAGACATCAATATCTTTTTCTTTTTTTTGTTGATTTTTTATAAATGTTTTTCAATGAAAAATAGATACGTGTATCTTTTTTCTATGTAAATATATGTATATGTTATATGTCAAATAGAGAGGTAAGTGAAATATATATATATATACATATATACTTTGTGAAAAATTAAAGCAACATCTATCTTATCTTGTACTCTAACGAGCGCCTCCCCTTTTCGTTGAAAAGTTACAATAGTTGCGAGAATATACACGAGCAGCGAAATAGATACACTTAATACAGTTGGCTCGTATTCGCTCTTATATGGAAGATATTGTACGTGCTCTCACGCAAAAATTGTGTATTAGAAATCTCATCTTATGGTCCTCATCATTAATCAATTCATACCTCAGATTTCTCGTTATACACATTTGATTGAAAAAAAGGCAATTTAAGTTCTAATAAACGTTTTAGATTATTTAACAATCTATGTTAATAAAAATCTCAATATTAGTAAACCGGTAGTAAACCGTTAACTTAGCATTTGTTTCAAAAATTTATCATGGCATCATAACTATGGTATGAGGTAACAAATATGATAAACAATTTAATCGGGTTAACCTTAATGGTAACATTAATATGTATAATGTATATTATTGAAACAAACGAAATATTATAAAATACAATATTGTCGTATCAGACTTGAGAAATGCAAAAAGGAATGGTAACTATATATCGATACGAATATGTATTTCTATGTCGCAAATATTAACGCGATTAGACGTCTTTAATAAGCTTGACAATATTGTATATTTTATATATCATTGGCGTTGTTCTAGGAACAATTATCATGTTCTCGAAGCTTCAAATTAAGGACAATTTTGATTTTTGCGCTTTTTCAATCCTTTCTTCGAGCTCATCACATGTAATGTACTTACTCTACAATTAAATCTTTAATAACACCGTTGAGTGCTCGTTCCAAGTGTGAACCGTCCCAATATACTTTTCCGCAATGTTCGCATATGTAAAAAACTTGCATACTCTTCAATAACTTCAGAGGGACTTTATCAATTTGTATCCGCGCCTGACATCTAGTCAAACACATCGTAATGTCGACGCTATCGACGTTTGTGGATAGACGCCACTTACGATGCTCACTGTTTGTAAGATAATTTATTGGACGTGTGAGTTCGAAGTCGTCGCTTGAAGCATCATCATCGACACTGAAGATATCGCTTTTTGATGAATCATCAAATTGATACATCTGTTCGGATGGAACCATGCGATAATGATTTCTCTTTATATTTTTTATGAAGCTGAAAATGGAATCAAAGTAATTGCTTTTATTGTATGAATTTAAGACTGGTATGTGAATTTAAAGGGAAGAGGTTTGTAAATTGATAAGATATATAGCGCGCGCTTGATTGATCGCAGCTCACCTTTGTCTCAGTTTATCCATAATATTCTTTGGAATTTTCACAAATTCATCATTATTACATTTCTGACAACGACTGAAAATGTCATCCTGCGTGACTACGACACTGAAATACCTCAATACTTCGCACAGCTGTTTGTCGGGTATATCTTCCACTACCCTGTAGCATTTCTCCAGTGGTATGTACTTCTCGAACTAAAAATATCAGTAGTTAATTAATAATTATTAAAACAAGTGCCATATAGACTGCGTTTACGCAATTTACGTTTACACGGCAACTCAAAAACTTAGCTTAGTATTGCATAACACGCGTAATCTATATTTACAATGATAACATAAAACCGATTTAACAATTCCCATTGTTGATCAAATCGATTTTACGGTGTTTATCTAAACGTAAATACTATGGTATATGGATGTTACTAAATGTTAGTTTGCGGTGTTACACATGGTAATTTCTAAAACAACGCGCGCATACTCGTAGAATCAACCATAACGACCATACAAAATATAAATCGAATCTTACTTTGTGATAGTTTCTGTGACGCGTCAACAAAAATCTATTTTCAGTCATCGCTAATGTAGCGGATTCGTTTCCTCCTTCATCAAATAACACGTGTACGCAGTCCACACCACACATTCGTAATCTGCTACTCAAGCCACCCAACATCGAGTCACAAACAACACGCCACGTGTGTGCGGCGATTGGATCACGGCACTGTTGAACAGATTGTGGCCTACTATAACTCTGGATAGTTCTTATTTTATTTTGAACATCTCGCTTATTCTGAAAATCTTGTTTACTCTGAACGTCTTGTCTATTGCGAGAATCTTGTCTACTCCAAGGATCTTGTCTATTTTGAATATCTCGTCTATCTTGATTATCATATCTATTATGATTGTCACGTTTACTTTGATTATCGTACCTAGTCTGACTGTCGTATCTGTTCTGACTCTCATGTCTGCTCTGGTCATTGTATCTGCTCTGGCCATCATATCTGTTCTGACCATCGTATCTGCTCCGGCCATCGTATCTACTCTGGCCATCGTATCTGTTCTGGCTATCGTATCTGCTCTGGCCATCGTATCTGCTCTGACCATCATATCTATTCTGACCATTGTATTTACTCTGGCCATCGTATTTACTCTGGCCATCGTATTTACTCTGACCATCGTATCTCTGATTTGTGTATCCAGTTCTGTCCTGTATTTGTTTGTTGTCGCGCATATTATAATTATCGTTTTTGCTATAGTTATTGTATCTGTTGTAATTATCATGTTTGCTATAATTATTGTTTCCGTTGTAACTATCCGGTTTATTATAGCTATACTTTTTTTGGTTATCGTATTTCATACGATTATCATATTTGTTCTGATTACTCTGTGAATACCCTTGTTTAGGTCCATGGTTAGTCATCCCATCATATTTTGGCACAGCTCCTGTATTCATAAGGTAATTTTCGTTGCTTCTATTGCCCATTGCGAACTTAGAATGCATAGGTTTCTATAAAATAATTAACACTTAATTTATAAGCACACATACAAATCGGTAATGAAATTAATCAAACAATAAATTTGTTTGATATTAATTGTATTTTAATCTATTATTACATAAAGCATGCATTTATAATTGAAAGTTGTGAAATAACATTGACTATTATAACTTAATCTATATAAAATGTCCATAAAATAGAATGTATGTCTATTCCCTATAACCCTTTGATCAATCTGTATCAAATTTTGCAGTTATTCTCCAGGATCCTGCACAAAATATAGGCTATCATGAAACTTGAATACCCCATCTTCTCCTCCTGATATCATCTTTTTGACAATTTATGATGACTTGAGTAAAGCACTTCACACATCACAAAGAATATTATTACAAACCAATTATTTATATTTAAAGAAGCAAAAAGAATTATATAAATTTGGAAAACAAAAAATAATTTCTATTTTCTAATCATTAAAGTTACAAGTTACTTTATGTTTTATTTACTGAATTATATTAACATATATTGATATAACTCTTTGTCATTTGTACCTTGTACGTAGATTTATTCGGATGTGTTTTTTGAAACTTCTGTGGAATATGTTGTATCTCATTACAAATATCTTGAAACGGTATATCCATATCTAATGAACATTCAGCTAGTACATTATAGATCTCCAATAAACAATATGCATCCAATGCTGTTACGATAAGTAGACAAATTATAAAAATATTAAAGCTTTGTATCCTACAATTAGAAAAAGAAATTTTCTAGAAAAAGAAACTAACCAGCATATGTTATCTGATTTTCTCGCAATGGTCTCAATTCCCAGTTTGAGAACTGCTCGGACTTGTTAAGTTTTTGCCCAAAACATAATTCCACGAGCCTGCTTAAGCTCTTTCCTGTGAATTTGGGATCACCTTTATATGGGAAAACGAAGTTGCAATCATCTACTAATTTATTCCATAGATGCATTAAATCGAGGTATCCTTGCCCATATGTTTTTATACATGATAAGGCAGGTAAATTTTTGCGTATTATTGTCATATCGTGTGCGATTCCAAATCCTGTATAATACACATAATATTAAAATATAACATTTTGTATAATATTATTTCAAAGATACATACCTATCTTAATTATATCCTGGTTCCCAAATAATATAAGACCGAGTTCACTCCACAGCTCACATAATTCATTGCTAAGAGTAGTTACATCCAATATATAAACATTTTCATTAGTAGCGATCTGTATAAGTGCTAACTCTGATTGTTTAGTTCCTGTTAATACAATAATGTTTTTTTTAAATAAATGCAAATTTTCAGTATTTACGCGTTCAAAATTTGATTTAATTTTATAAAATTTTATATTATTTTATTACCAAAACTAGGCTTCCACTCGCTGTCAATTCCAACCATATCAACACCTCTTAATCCATTATCAAGAAATTCTTCAAATAAGCGTACATTATCTATTACTTTAATACAAACTCTAGGTAGTTTTAAGACGTAATAATTTGTATTACTTTCATCTAATAGCCGATTTCTTTCACTACTAATGGATGCACCCTCATTTATGCCTGCAAAATATATATATTCTTTCAGATATGAAGAATATTGAGATGTTATTCTTATTTATTTATTTTAGATCATTACTTTCACCATCCTGTTCTTCTGCATTTATGATATGCCATGGCCACTGTTCTTTAGGTATCTCAAATTCTCTTGCCCAGTACAAGCCTTCTTGTACATCATTAACATTAACCAACATTGAGAGTAGATTTGCTTGTAAGACAGCATCATTGCCTGCTGCTTCTCTTACCATCTCCCTCCAGCTATCGACACCTGCAATAGAGTAAATTAACTTAAAAAGATACTAATGTTACACATTTTTATAATCCAGTAGAAGTAATTTTTAAATGTAGAAAAGAATAGATGCTCATTCATCTATATTAGGACAGGATATTAAAAAGATAGACACTTACTTAAACTACCATCAATGTAACGCTTATGTATAAGAAACTGTATTGCTCCTTCACTTCGTTTTGTATTTAAGTGAGGAGCTAAATCAGGTGATAAATTATGTTGTTTTATTAAACGTGCAATAAGCTTAGTCATTGGACGAACATGTGATATTGATATCTTAACATCTGATATATTATTTTTCCTAAAAGAATTAATTTTTGTAAGCAAATTTCAAATAACAATATTTCCAAATACCTAGTATTATATATTATCACTTACTGAATAAACTGATTCAATACAATCTGCATGTTTTGTTTTGGTGCTATTAAATTATCTAAATATTTTATCAAGGCTTCTTGTATATCTGGGCAACCAACTAAAAACTCATCCATCACTGCCAACTTATTTTGTAATATAAGAGGTATTAATAATATTTCTGGATTCTTAAAGTACTCTTGCAATTGTAATAACGCAGCATATTGTGCAGCTTCTTTATATTTTTGTTCTTGAATCATTTTCTGAAAAAAAATATATGTTTGTCTATATATATATATAAATATATAGTATATCTTATTTATTTATATATATATATATATATATATATATATATTTAAATATACTTTGAATAACATACCTGTATTAATTGTAAGAACATTTCTTTATGTTCCATAAACTCATATACAACAGAAACTTTATTCATTAAATGTTTCTGTTTGGTTATTAATTTGAAAACTGCTAATTTCAAATCAGGAACAAGACAATCCTTATAAGCCTCTTTTCTATCTTCAAGCCAATCTGAAAATTCTTCTATGACTGTAACAGAATCAAAATTACAAGTTTATTATTTTAAGAGAATCTGTCATTTCATGTTATATACAAACAATACCTTCCACACATATATAGTTATATAAAATTATATATACTAAAAACTGCATATTGAATAAATATTGAAGAAGTATACCGTCAAGCGCAAGCTCTGTAGACTTTATATGTTTTATATTTGGCATATTTGCCAATATTTTTAAAGTACTAAGATATGGATTTGGTGCTGTTTCAAAGTAATTTATCAATGTTTTGCTAACAATATCGCATTTCTTCCCTAAAAACATAATTACCAATTAATTTAAACTCTATAAGATTAAATGAAATATTGGTTATATTAGAAAAGTCAGCTTACATAGTGACCACATATGGTGCAGAGTTTCTATCCATTTCTTCGTGGTACTATCTATCGACGAGAAGAATAATAAATCCGAGTCAACATCCCAACGACTATCCGCCGCTTCCTCATCGAAGGAATTGTCGAGATTTTGAATTTTCCTCACTTTCGCCATGATAATTGCAAATTCCAAAATTCGTTTGAAGATTCGTTCCCAAAAATTCAATGCTGTAAGAGAACACTTCGTACCGATTCTCGCGATAAGAAAACAATAGAACACATATAATATTGTTCATTTGACGTCAAGGTTGCAGTGTCAGCAGATAAATCTGAGCCGGGACTTCACCCACGACGTCACGTATCCTTCGTGTCTCAAATTAAACATTTTCCAATGAAATACATTACACCTAGATACGACTGTCGCACATTGAATGCGGCGCGCGTGCCTTATGGTAAAAAAGTAAGGAGGCAACCAATCACTTTCCGCAACCTATTAGATCCGATCTACAATAGGTGTAGTAAGATTTAAGCCGTAAGAAATTGACCAATCACGATTGATTATTCTTCTATAATTCGATTATGATTGGTCAATTTCTTAAAACTTTCTACCCTATCGATATCGAGATCCCCTATCGTAGATCGAGACTTAAGGGCCGTCTACAATAGAAAATCGTACGTCGTAGCAGTAAGAAATTGACCAATCATACTGGATTTTTACAAGAATAGCCAATTTATGATTGATCAATTTTTTACTGCTACGGCGTACGATTTTCCATTGTAGATGGCTCCAACTTAAGGCTGGTTTATGATGATCGTAATCCGTTTACTTATGCCGAAACCATAAAAATTGACCAATCACAATCGATTATTCTTCTATAATGATACATTTCAAACATTGAAAATTCAAATATTGTTCAAACATTGTTTCATTGATGTTTGAATGTTTGATATTGAACGGAATGTTTTCCGTTTTTGTTCCGTTCCGTAACAGTTTCGTGTCATGTGAAACCCACCTATCAAACGGAACGGAATAAAAACGGAATTACTCTGATTGGCTGACTCCATATCTCTTTTCCGTAACTGTTCCGTTCCGCTATTTCTTTCTCCATCTGAACGCACCCTTATGTGTTTCGTGGCAATAAAATCGTCAACATTTTAAATATTAGAGATATTTTCAACAATATACGCGTTTTGTATCGTGCAATTCTTAAAAAATAAATGATTCATTGTGATTGGTCGCTGAGAATCAAGAATATCGATATCTTCGAGAATTGAAATCATTGAAATAAGGTAAACGTCCCAGTGGTCGAACATACATGTCCCAATGATTGACATATTGGTTTTGTATTTTTCTTTGTTGAAATGCCTTTCAATATACAAAACAATATAATAAATGAAAAGAAATATTTAGTTACTTTATGATTTTTATTTATTGATAAGCATCTTAACAAACACAATATTATATTATATATTATAGTATATTATTAGTAATTCAATTATCGGTACACGTTCAATCACTAGGACGTTTATCTTATGTACCTACCTTCAGTCGGTTAAAAAACGACTCGCGACGCGGTAATTTTGCTTTTAGAACGTTGATCCGTAGTTTTCATGATTTGGACTCGCTGAAGAAATTCCGCAGATATATTTCGAAACTTTCGTAAGTGTTATATTTTATATTTAATAAAATATGTAATAGAATGTCGTAAAATAAATATAAGAAATGAATGTTGTCGGCAGGAATGTAGGACAATTTCGGGATATTATGACCCTCAGATAGCACAGAGGTAAATAAAGTTCATAGAGAATTCACTTTAAAGAATATCTAAAAAATTAGAAAAATGAGTATCTAAAGAATTTCTGAAGAATTATCCGAGTCTAATTCATTTTAAAGTATTTCTTGGAACTTCATTACAATGAATATTTCGCAAATCATTACTTGGGATATTCTGAGAATCCGTGAAAAATTATTATTATTAACTAATTTTATTTACATTTTTATGGTTACATTAGACAGATATCCCATCACTTATAATATCATTGATTTATATATTTATACATAAATTTAATTAATTTAATTAAATCTTTTAAGAGAGCGAGAGAAGTAGATTTTCTTTTTTTTTTAAATGTATTCTTTTATAGTTACTCAAAGTTTATAGTCTTTTATGACTTTGTCTATTTAGTAACAGTTAAAAATAAAAAATTTTTACCATAAAAATTTAAAGATAACAAAATGCCCATATAGCACAAATGTTTACTATATATCCTAAGAATGTTCTAAGAATATTCTTAGGATATCTAGTAAATATTTGTACTATATGGGATGAAACGTGCAGAATTTTGTAGATCTCATCTTATTAGCTAAGAATTAAATTAACAATAAAAGTGTACAGAATTATAATTTTTATTAAAATTAAATCATTTTATCAAAAAATTATATTACTGTATATTTATTACAACATATATAGATAAAATATAAGATATCAATCGAAAAAGTGATGTAGTGTCTAAAACAATATCTCATAATCCAGAGATACTTTAGGTCCAAGTTTGAGTCCCTCAATCAGTGCCAATGAGAATTTTTAAATGTGATTATAACATTGGAATCAAGTAATCTAAAATTTTCAAGTCAAATCAGCAAATGCTGACATTTTTGTGAATAGTTTCTGTTAGAAAAAATAATACATCTCATATATAAAAAAAATTATAAAGCATACATCTATTGCCCACACAGCAGAGATGTCCAAAATATATCATAAGGATATCCTAAAAATATTTGGGATATGTGACATCTTCAAGATATCCTTATGATATATTTGGGACATTCTTGCTGTATGAGTGTTCCATAATTCAAAATGAATACTTTAAGAAGTAGTCAGAAATTCCAATTAACGCATGTAACTTTCTTAGTCATTCATTTCTAAAGTATACTTCATTTTTAAAATATACTCTTACGAATTCTTAATGAATTACCATTCAAGAAAGAAGAATATTTTGAGAATACTTTAGAAATTCATTGTGCTATCTGGGGAAGATTCGGAGTTCAAGGTGGCTGCATTGCAACATTTTTTAATAACGCTTTCGATTCACAACAAAAGTAATTCATGTTGATAACATAATGCATTTATTATGCACATATATGTCATATAAAAATTTCTTCAAATTTTTTAAGAAAAACTTCGACAATATATACATATATAATGATTACAATAATAAATCGATATAAAACTGTAGTCTCTATTAAGAACGCAGGTACTACATTCATACATACCCAATAAATATCATGTAACAATAACATTACATTAATGTCATAATTCCCACTCAACAATTGGTCTGTTCTTTCCAACTGCACTGCCAAATTGGTGCAATAAATTAAAGTAAGAAAAAACATACTTCTCTCCCTTTAACTTATTGCATTAGTTTAGCAGTGCTAAACTAAAAAAAAAAAAAAAAAAACAGACCAAATGTAACTGTCCCAACGAGAACGTAGACGTCGATTTGACGTCTAACCGACGTCGGAGAAGTCTAAGTTACGTCTAGTCTAAATGCACGTCTAGAAAAATAGCAATTTAGACGTCTTCTATTTTGAGTAAATTCTAATGTTTTCTAAAGAATCCATTCATAATGTATTGACCATTAAAAGAGAGTTTTCGATAAAATTTCGGAATTTTATTTTATCGATTATTTACAATCTCTTTAGACATCTATTCGATATTGAATCGATGTCTAATATCCCAATGAGAAATGACTTATCAATCGACGTCGAAAAGACGTCGAATTTGACGTCTATTTGACGATTTCGACGTCGATAAATAAGTCATTTCTTACTGAGATCGCGCGCGTTTTACATAAAAAATTTATTCTAAATGGAAACGTCAGTTTTTTTTTTTTAGATTTCCGATTCAATTATAGTATTACAAAGATAGGAATGTCAGATTACTCGAAAAACATTAAACTGGAAGAAATGATCAAAGTCATTTTGCAAATAACTACATAAACAATAACTTTAGAGATATTAAATAGACAGGCGAATCAACGCGTGTATTTGCTAGGTACGTTATAATATACTGTGAACACTGTAAGTATACATTTTATAAGCATAAATTGTAAGAACATCATTGGAGTCATTGGAACACCGCGTGTCGCTCGATCGTCAGGTTAAGCAACGCAGTCAGGATGGATGGGAGACTACTTCGAATTCGAAATTTTCGAGGTAGAATTCGCGAAAGTTTTAGCGTATGTTTGATAATCTTCGGTTTCTAGCAGTTTATAAGACATAAAGAAAATTAGGAATTAGTTATTTTTATGAAACAATCTAGTGAGAAATGACTTATTGATCGATGTCGAAATGACGGTCTATTAGACATCTAAATGTGGGCCGTTTTTAGGTTGATATAGATCTTAATCTAGATTAGACGTAGAATCGATAGATAGACGTCGAATCGACGTAACCTTTCTCGCTGGGGTTATATATACTTATATTGTTGAATGGGAAATCATAACATTGATGTAATATTACTGTTACTTACTGGAATATTCTTTCTTATATTGTTTCTTACTAGAATATTCTACTGTTGTTTACTAGAATATTCTTTAATCAATGATACAACTAAAAAAGGTAATTTAAAATTTCAATAAAAAATATATTTATTATATAAAAATAATTAAAATTAACTTAAAAAATTTTTATCTTTTACACAATAATTTACTTTTCTTCAAATATTTTATTAAGGGAAATAAAATCTATCAATTTCTTGATAATCAATTTTCAAAATTAATCAAAATATTATAGAAATTGTTAAAACAATAAAAAAGATAAATGGTACATATTAGTTTCTTATCTTTTAATTTTAATAAAAACCTGTATAAAAACGCTTAAATTTGCATTTTTACTTATATTTTTATGAAAAACTACCTCTGTTGTACCATTTATTATGAAACAATTATAATAAAAAAAAAAAAAAAAAAAAAAAAAAAAAAAAAAAAAAAAAAAAAAAAAAAAAAAAAAAAAAAAAAAAAAAAAAAAAAAAAAAAAAAAAAAAAAAA